ACATACATAAACATGAATGGAATCTGAAAAACTGCATCGGTAAAAAGGGAAATACACGAGACTCTCAAGTACTGTCAAAGCCCAAGTTCTTTGATCTGAAAAATCTAGAGAACAATCCACTAGAGCAAACATGAGAGATTAAAAATGGTGCAAGGAAGAACCGCAAAAATGGTTTGAATGAAAAAAGTATACGATAGGCTGACGTTGCAAAGTTCTGAAACAGGTCCTGCGAGGAAGGCATCCGAGCGCGGTGTTTTCGAAGCTGGAGTTGGTGACGAGGTGAAACGTAGGGACAGGCTGCTCTCAGACATTGGGAGGTAGCATGGAGGTGGAGGTGAAGATGGAGCTGGCGGTGTGTTGTAGGACCTCAAAGGTCTGGAGGGGTGGCATTTATAGACCATGCCAGCCCCTTGACTATGGCATTATTAGGGTGAATCACCCAGCATCGGGCCTTGGAGTGGCAAACAGCGCCATGATCTTGTTGCAAAAGATGCATGGCTTGGGCTTCACCTCCGCTGGTGAACTTCGTCCCACGGCCCCAAGCAAGGATATGGACCGTGATGGAATGGACGTTTTTTGCCAACCTCCATGTGTTGTGTAGAATGCGGGCCTGTTCGTAGTTGTCGTGAATGTGCTGGTGGGTGATGCGTGTGGCTTGGGCAAAAAAGCCTGGGTTGTCCTCGAAGTGGAGGGTACGGTTGAGAAGACGGCCCTGTTGTAAAATGGCAGCAATGTTGCCATAGGGGCCGGTGTGACACGCATTGATGTGAACTGTTTCAGGGGCGGTGGAAGTGGCCCGAGTGGCGGGTGGTGGCAGTGGGCGAGTGGCTTTGTCGACGAGGCTCGGGATGTTGATACAGTGATAGGAGAAAGTGTCGGAAGCATTGGTGGCGTCATTCCATTTCACATGGGTAAGTTGGCGGAAGTCTGCCAGATCATCAAACTCAAAGCCAGTGTCTGCTAGAAGTTTGGCGATGTAGAGATGTTGTGGTCTGTTCTCTGCGGCAACCTGGGCTGCATGGAAATCCAGCCACCATGCTATCTTGTCTTGTGGTGACAGCTGCTGGAAATGTGGAGGAGGTGCCTTCCAAGGTGGGTGGATGCGGCGTAGCGCCGGATAGTTGGGGTAGTCCGCTTGGGACATGTTGGTGATCTGACTGTGAGATGTGGATTGTTGATTGGGCCGGAGAGTGATAGGTGCGTGGGAGCGTGTGTGGGAATTGCTGGCTGAAGACGTGGTAGATGTGGTGGAGGGAGAACGGCGACGTCGACGACGTGCCGAGGATGCTTTGGCAGTGGAGGTCGCAGGGGAACGTTGATGTTTGTCACGTGTATGGCGACTGCGGTGGCGGCGACGCCGTTTGCTACGGCGGCCACGATGGCTGCGGCCAGTGGCGGTGGGAGGAGGCGGTGCCGCTGTGAGAGGTTGTGGAGGGGGCTGCTTGGGAAGTGGTGCGGTTGGCTTTGTAGATGCTGCCGGAGATGCCGTTGGTGGTGGTGGTGGCGGTGTTGGCTTGGCTGTGGCAGGGCGGAGCAGTGGAAGTATGTGTAGTTGGTGCGGCGGTGGTGGCAGTGGTAGCTGGTGAGGATGTCTCCTGAGTAATAGCGACTGATGGTGGGGCGTTGGAAGTGCCGGGAGGGGCGTTGGGAACGCCAGAGGGGAGTTGTGGATGTGTTGGAGGGGCCGAAGCAGTTGTGTTCGGAGCCGGTGTGGAAGCTGGTGAAGGGTGAGCAACTGGTGGAAAAGCCGAGAAAGGTTGCCAAACACCTTGAGATTGGTCCCAGTGGATGGGGACCTGTTGGATTGGCGGCTGTGGTTGCGGTGCTTGAGGAGCAGGTAAAACGGATGGTGGTGGTGGTGCGTGTGGTAGATGAGGTTGTGTTGGTAAGGCCTCGAATGCCTGCATCTGTGGAGCTGTTGGGTGGGCCTGCGTGGGAGCCACTAAGGTTGGAGAATGAGCTGGCATGGGATGTGGCCACGCGTGAGGTGGCGGTTGCTGCGGAGTGGGCTGAAAGTGGGGTAGAAAGGCCTGCTGTGATGGATGGGATAAAATCGTAGGAACAGGTGCCGTTGGTGGAGAGTGGTGCCATGGCGGTGGTTGAGTGGTGACTGCGGGAATGGGGGGTGCGGTACAAGGCGGTGGCCAATGTGGATAAGGCCAAGGGTACTGCATGTAGAGAGGGCCGTCCGAGTGGCTGCGAGAAAATGGCGCCGGCGCGGCACAGCAGCTGAAAAGTTTGAAGATGGCAGTGAAGTCAGGAACTCAGTAGGTGTGCAGTGAAAAATTAATTAACTTGAAAAATTGAAAAACTGAAAAATTGGCATGCATTGTGATCTCCGGGACGTGAGCATGCATGCGTTGATCGTCAGTCAAATGGCTGCGGGTGGGAAATTAAATTGAAGTTGGAGAAAACGCAGCAGTGCACCACATGAATGAATGTCGAAACGTTGAGTGGATAGTTCCTCGCTTATAGCCCGGCGGCTGGAAAATCAGGAAATTCAGGGATAAAATGAAAAACCGTGGATCAGTTATAAGAATGAAAAAACGATGCTTTCCGGAATGATAGCAGCGCCTCCTTTCGGAGGATCACACCCAGTACCCGAGTGGGAAGACTGAGCGGGACACACTTCGAACTTGGGTTTTCAGTTAGACTCAATTGCTACGTTGGGAAGGAAGGCGATGGAACAGCATGGCGAAAAGTCCGAGAACTTGTAGGTGTTTGAACATCGATTGTTTCACTTGACTCGGCTGCACATCGGCGGTGGTGAACGGCTCAACTCAGCTGCAAACCGAGGTTTCGGGGGTGGAAACATGAAGGACCATGAATCAAAAAATGGAAAAGTGGAGTCACAGCTTGATCAAACGTTCCGTCAGCGCAGGTACGCCAGGATGGCCAATCCTGGTATCCCGTGTTCAGACTAGCTTCGTTGGGCGTAGTCATCTGAACACGCTACGCCCCCCTGCCTGGTCAATGGAAAAAGAATGGAAAGGTAAAAAGGTAGAAACCCTTAGAACCAGGGTGTGACACACACACACACACACGCTTTGCGGCGCTCTCGCAGCGGAGGACCTAAATAGGTACCTCAGCCTTAGAAACAAAAGAAAGCCTAAGAGAAAGCCCAAGAAACGACCAAAAGCGCAAGAAAGAAAGTGGGGGGCAGGGAGGTGTATGTACATGTGTGTGTCCGTGTGTGTGTGTGTATGACTCCCTAGCACTCTAGAGTTACTGAATACTTAGCCGAAATGAATTAGGTGCACTAGTTAGGGAGCGGGACTTTGGTCTTACACCGCCCGGGTAGAGTAGACTAGAAAAGGAACAAAAGAGGGAAAGGCACCGACGCACAAGTGTGCCGAGTACCATTTCCCTCTGTTACCCTAATTAGAGGGGGGGGAGGGGTTGGGGTGTTTGGGGTAGAGAACACGTCTGGGTTTATTCTCCGTTGGCCCGGTGGCTTGAAATGCCCGACGGCATATGGGTTTGGAAATCCAATAGTGAAACAGAGTCCGTCAAGAGAATCCAACGTGTGTAGAACGGAAGAAGGTCAGTTAGTGGCAATCCGGAATGAGGACAGCGCTCCCTTGCAGGAGACCACACCCAGCCCAAGTGGGACGACTGAGCGGTTCACACTCTGACATTGGTTTTCAGTTAATCTGTTCCCAAGTCGAAAAAGGTGAGGGAACGGAAAGGTGCATGAGTCCGCAGAAAAGTATTGTTCAACAAACGTTTCGCAACAAGCTCAAGTGCAAGCGTGCAGCGATCAGCGGCTGCAGAGCGGGCTGCAGAGCGGGGGGAAACCTGTTTGGGGGTGGTAGCGTGAAGAACCATACAATCAGACAGAGAGTGGAAAAGCTCAGCTTGCGCAAAAGTTCCATCGGTCCAGGTACAGGTGGATGATCAGTCCGCCCTTCCCTCGTCATACCGTAGCTTCGTTGCGTACGGTGGGTATGACGAGCCGTACGCCCCTGCCTGTGGAAACTATTGTGACACACATACACACGCCTCCCCGAGGGGGCGAAAACCCGCCTCATTGTAAAGACTTGGGCGACCTAAAACCTCAGTCGAAGTAGGTTGTGCACGTGCATACTAGGGGCCGGGCCGTGTGTGCGCAAAAGAAGGAAAGAGATGAGATGAAAGAACACGAAGACAAGAAGACATGAAAGAAAAGAGGAAAAACAGATGCGTGTGAAGGGGACGGACGGAAAGGGAACCAAGTGGAGGGGACGAGAACCGATGAAGCCAAACCTCATTAGAAACACCTAGGTGTAGACCTCGCCTCATTTGAATGTATACGCTGTGTGTGCACCTAAGGTCCCGACAGGTTCCAATGAACCTAAAAAGAATTACGGTCGCTCTGACCACGTGGAGGCGTTAAGCCAGCTTGGACCGCTGCGGTCACCTTTCGGCATAGAGCCAGCTTGGAATGCAATAATCCGTCAATCTTGGCAAATGACTTTGGCACAAGTCTACTCCGCCCGCTATGGGCACGTGCGTTTCCAGAGCAAAGGAAACAACGACAAGCCCCCGTTCAACGGGTCCACAGCGACCACTCGTCGGGGTCACCCTGGGCTGACACGAAGGTCAGACACACTTATAGAAATGCATGCTGATTTGAAAGCGGTTGCCACACGCCAACCTGGGTACCCAAATCCTGAACAGTTCAGGTAAAACCAAAAGATCCTGGGGGTCCTCAACCGGAAGAGAGACCAACAGCTCAAAACGATCCCGAAGTGACAAAATGACGACGTAGCGTGCATGTCTGCAGAAAATCTTAAAAAATTGGTGCACAAGAAGGCGTCCCTTCTCGCTTCACCAGTTGTGAACCCGTGTTCGTTCTTCCAGGGCCTCACAACTGCCTGGACCCCTAACTTTGCTAAAAACAATCCGAAACGATCCCTGTGTTTCACGCGCGCACACACACCCATCCACGCATTGTGCACATTCTTGTTTCATTACTGCAAGCATGTTTTCTTCCTGTTGTTGCGCTTGTGCTCGTAAAGGTGGAATTGGCAGATTTGTTGGGTTCCATGGACGAAGTCCTCGAGTGGCGGGAGGAGGTGGCGTTGATGTGCCCAGCAGCAGAGGGGAAGAACGGAGAACTGCCAACTGACTTGGTTGCAGCGTGCCCAATTGATGAAGACGAGCCCGATCTGAGCACGCTCTTGCAAAGCCTTACATTGTCAGCTTTCATGCGACATGCTCAGCGCACATCGCTTCACACTGGTGAGATCAGTGCAAAGGAGGCCTTATTCTCACCCCTGATTTCGCCTGAGTTCTTGGAGGGTCAACCGAACTCGCCATCGTGGTGTCGCAGCTCCAAGTCTCACTTTGGGGAGCTGCTGCAGCAGATTTGCGATTCTTTGGGTGATTCTCAGCAGGTCACACAATCATCCCCCTGCTGATTCCAACCTTCAGTGCTCCAAACCAAACCCTAGACCTGGATGCGGTGAAAGAATTGCCCAATTATGGAAAGGTTTTCTCGGAGATAAACATGGAAGGCATGCCGTCACAAGCTACCTTGAGAGAGAGCATGAAGGAGCACGTTGAGAGGATTGCAAAGCAACTATCGGAGGGAAGAGGTCGAGTCCTTTCAGCCTTGCATGTGCATGTGAACATGAAACAAGACCATGCTCAGGACATTGTGGATTACCTGCGTTTCCAATTGGAGTGGTGCGCTGGAGAACTCTTCGGCCTCCTCCATGAAAAGCCTGGACTGCTTACCCAGTCTGCTTTGCATGTCCTTGCGGTGGTGGCTCATGGTGTTCGAGGGGATGACGGAAGTCGAAGCATTCGACCCTTCTTGTTGGCAGGACCTGTCACTGAAAGGACCGATGCTTCGCCTGATGTGAAGATGTTTCAATGGACTGGCATCGCCGTGGATCACTTCTCCCACTTATTGCCATGGGGAATGCGGCCCGAGGAGCTCTTGAACGGCACGATCAAGGAAATTTTTGGTCTTCAGGACGAGTCACCTGATCGTTTCCGAAGGATTCTCGCTGATGCATTGCCTCATGTTGTTCCACGCTTTGGATCTGAACCTCATCACGCAGACAGCTTTGTGATCATTCAATCCTTGATGCGAGAGATCAACAGCAAACCGGAGCTTGTTAGTGGGATTCGTTCTGTGCTGGCTGAGCAGCTTTCCTTGGAGGAGGCGTGGCGTTTCAAGTCTCAAGTCTCCCCCTCTCACAGCGTAAGAAAACGTGCAGGCAGTTCATCCAAGCACGCAAGCAAGCCACGTTTTCAGCCAAGCGTTGAGGTAGCTGAGCGGTAAGTTAGCAATAGCTAAAAGGGTGAGATTGCCTAAGAGGTGAGCTAGCTAAGAGGTGAAGCAAGCTAGCGAAGTTGCGAGGCCATGTCATTCGCTGTAGTTTCTTTTTACGTGTCACGAATGAAGAAACCATGCTTTGTCAATGCTTTGTGTTCCCTGTGTGGACGCTGGTCAGTGGTCCCCTTCAGTCTTTTGTGCGTTGGTTTTCGTTTTTTTGCCCAGATGTTGGTGTTTCCACTTCGTGCTCTCACAATTAAAGGGCTACAGCATGTAAGTACTGCAAGGCCAAGTGGGGCATTCAAGGATGGAGCGCAGAGTTGGGTGAGGTGCCCCCTGCTTGGCGAATCTGGAACAACACATGTCCGCCATGTGATGCCGCTTGCTCCTCGCTGTCCGAGTTTGAGGACCTTGACGTTGAGTCAACATCTCTCTCTCTCTCTCACTTGGACAAGCGTGCATATTTCGATAGAACTGAGCGCTGGCACCATCGACGAACTGAGCGCTTGCTGACTCTTGTGCGACTGATTGTGCGTGCGCCGCGCGGGTATTGCCGAACTTTGTGAGTGGGCCACAGTGCCAGAAATACATGGACAGTTGTATATCTTGTATTTGGTTGTCGATGTTTTGTTTTAGGAGGCAACCTGAAACACACGCAACAGAACCGTTCGTTACACTTTGTGATTCCGAGAGCGCTCACATGATCTTTTTTCAGGCAGACTGGCGCATGGATGTTGCAAAGAACATCGAGTTGTTGCGACGCACTGGCCCCTTTCAGCTCGCCCTCCTGTCGCACCTCAGACGGGATGACAAGATCCAACCGGTGATCAAAGCAGTCTGGCAACACAGCTTGCACACAAGCTGCCCCAACAAGATTGCGCCGGAAGAAGATGCCATCCAAAGTGTTCACTGGCGGCCAGTGGCTGAATCGTTGTTGCACCACGTGCTCAGTTCGGCAATTCACCAGGCTGAATGGGAGCCAATGCTTTCGCAGCGTCATCCCGGTGAAATGCGAACTTTGCTTATGCCAGGGAGTGCTGCAGCCATGCAGATCTTGCTGCCCCAACTTCAATCCAAGGAGGGGCTGCGGGATCGGAACTTTATTGAAGTATTGATGGATCAAGCTGTTCAACTTGCAGCAGTGTTGCCACGATGCTTGCCCGCTACGCTTTGTAACGCATTGAATGCAGTTGGCCAATCACTGTCCAGCGGGAAGGCCGGCGATGTAATCGGCTTGTTTGGTGATGACGTGATCACTGAAATGACTGCGCGTGCTTGTGCCAGTGTACAAGAATGGCCGGGGAGCGCGACTTTTGAATCAGTCCGTTTGCATCTCCATGTCATCGTTCGTGCCTTGATGCGCAACATGGCCCGGCAACAGGCAGATGATGCTGGCAACCCCATTGATCAGCAGGAATCAAAGCGTGATGAGTATCCGCACATGTTGAAAGCTCTTCTGCCCGCAGTTGCGGCAGTGTTGCTACTGCCTCTTTCGCAGCAGGTCGCAGCCTTGCAAACGCAGTTTCCAACGTTACACACTTGGGCTGATTGCTTGGAGGCTCTTCTGAACCCTTTTCCGCTGGCAGGCACTTGGAGAACTTTCTTTGAACGTGGGATGCAGGCAGCGTTTCAACTACACGGCTTAGATTTGGAAGACTCCTTGTGCTCAAGTGCAGATGCCGGTGAGGATTTGCAGGACTTTTAATCACCCATTTCGACCGGCCGTGGGTTCGTCGGTGTGTGGGCTTACCTGCTTGAATGGATGCCCCAGCTATATAACTTGTTGCTCCTTCCCTTCTTGTGCTAGCATAAGAGCCATGGTTAGGGAATGTTAGGGAAATACCCTTGTTGGAACACACAAACTCACGAACATGGTGTGATGAAAAACCAAACCCTGACCACCAGCTGTTCTTCTTATGACATGGCCGGCGGTGGCCGGCGTGTGCTGGTTGGTTTGGCAGGACTCCTTGCAGCTCCTGCAGCAGCTCTCTGTGGCCATTGAGGATTTTGTCATCACCGTAGGCTGCACAGACGCGAGCATTGTCGCTGGTTACAAAATCAGTATGTTTCCCGAGGATTTTCAACAGGCTTCTACTTGGGGTCCAAAATCAATTACTGTAATTCGAGACAGCTGTCTAAGCTACTTTGATGGAGAGGCTTCGACAATGTTCTTAAACCTTGCCAATCAAGTGATCAATAGTGCCATAGCCACCCACGCTGGCAGAGGTCAGAGTTGCAGCCATCAGCCACATGCTGTCATCCTCCAAAGGCATTGCGCCAGACAAGGCCATGAGCATCTTAAGCTTTATGAGGCCCGTCTCCGAAAAGTTGCAGGCCAAAGTGAATGGTGACATGGCAAGTTGGTTCACAAGTTGGGTCATCTCCTAGTTTTGCCACACATTTTGTAAAGGAGGTTGTTGTTAAGAACCCCTGGTAGGAACAAGTCCAACGTCCACTTGCTTGAGGCTGTGGCTGGTCTCATCGAGGTGCAAGACATTGATACCGCCATCCCACTTGTCGGAGTGTCCTATGCTTTGCAGCTTCTAGGTGAGGAGTCTAAAAAAGATCCTGCCGCACTCAAGGCTTGTCTCACACTTATGAATCAAGCTATTCAGCGCTCAGACAACGATTTCCAGAAGTTGCACCCTCTGAAAACATACCTCCAGCAGATCTCGATCTATTTGATGGAGCACCTGATGTCCAGGGTTGGGGTGTCAACCATCAACAGCTGGCCTGAGGCGGAAGAAATCGGCGAGAGAGTTCTTTCCGAATCTTTCTATGCACTGATGGAGGAGCAGGAGGCCGGACTCACCACCAGTGCTACAGTCATGCATCTCTTGGAAGATGTGTTGCCCTCCACAGCTCAAGGCTGCGGTTGGGACACGCCTTTGGTTGCGTGTTTGGCAGCTGCCTTATCGACGACATCTCAGCTGAGCTTGGTGATCGCCAACCTAGTGAAGCATTCACTCAAGAAAAAGTTAGGAAACCCGTCGAAGAGAGCTTTGCAGATGTTGGAAGATGCCTTCAAGAAAACTTTGAGTATCCTTCAACGGCGAGATCCTCAAAAGTCTCAAGTGTTTGTTGCTTTTGTGCTCGCGAGAGAACTCGTTTTGCACAGCGTGGATGTGGTCGAGACTTATTTGGAGACAGACAATGAGGAGTTGCAACAGAGGCTCGAAAAAGTCTTGACCTGCATTGTTGAGGCTTTGGAGATGCAGTTTGCCGGATCTACCAGGGTGGATGCTGACACTGCCATGCTGTTGTGCACCTATGAGGGTCGAGATCTTCGAGTGGAGCAGCTTCCTACAGCCTTTGCATCGCTGTATGTGGTAGCGGCAACACGACGACGGGAGGCACCGCTCCCAACGAACACAGCGATCAAGCATTTGTTGGAGGTCGTCGCTTTCATCGCGGGGGGGGGTGACAGTGGCCTGCATTGTTTCCTTGAGAGCTGCAGAGATGAGATGGTGACACTTTCCAATGCCCTGGGCTTATCGCTGTTGCTTCCAGACCAAAGCAAGGTTGCTGACATTAAGACAGTAGTGAGCTGCCTGCACGATCTTGGTTCAGAAGAGCAGTCGTGCTCGCAACAGGCTGCAAAACAATTCGAAGGTCTGTGCCACGAAAAGCGCGACAACTTCCAAGCTTTGCTTCAAAGCATGCGTGCAGTGGGAGAAGTTGCTTGCATGCAATGCTCAGCCGAAGATGAAGAGACACTCGACCTAGCGGGCCGAATCGCCAGAGAATTGCCCAGTGTTCTAGGGCCGGCTGGGGTTCTGTTGCGCTTGAAAGCAGATGATGAGACCCCGTGGAACATAGACTTCCTCAACATGGATGCCGAAAAGGCCTGGCAAGCATCTATCTTCGCGCACCTCATTTGCTTCCTTGGGGCGGCCCATGTCAGCATCAACCGGAGGCAAGAGGACTTGCCACCAGCTATCAAGCCATTTGTTGCTTTCAACAGCATCGACGAGCCGACTCTGAATTCCACGTTTTGGCCTGGAGTGCCCAATGATTGGTGGCAGTCCTTGAGGTACTCAGGTTTGCACAAACACTTGCTGCCTGTCACAGGGAACATAGTTTGGGGCCAGTGCCAGTGTGGGTACCGCTATTGCTATGCCGAATGCGGTGCCCCTGTCTCTGCCGCAAAATGTCCGAGCCCGGAGGGTGAAGGTCGCTGTACTTTGATGAATGGAGGCCAGAACCACACCTTTGCGCCTCACCAGCAGCTGATCGCAGTGGTGGTTACTGCACATCCACACGGAACGGGGTGGCCTCCGGTCTACTCCTCAATGAGCCAAGGGTTCCCAGCTGCTTTTCGGCCTCCACCACCTTCTCCAGGTCTTTTTGCCTTGACGGAGGCTGACTTGCACATCTCAGTGACAGAAAAGGAGAGAGCAGTGGTTTCCCACAGTCTCATGTCTGAAACAGTCCGTCAAGATTGGAATCAGCCACTTGGTAAGCCTCCTGATCCGAAGAGCGGTTTGCACCCAATAGCATTTCGAGTGCTTCATCTTTTGATCCACGCCAGTGCCCTGATTGGGATTGAGATGGAATGGGTACAGGAACGAGACAACATCGTCCAACTCTTACAGGGACACCTTCGGCAGGTTGCTCGAATGAACCCAGTGAGGAACGCAAATGACACTGTGTGGTATTTCATGGCGAATGTGGAAGCAGATTTGGATGCTCTTGCCAAGTTGTTGAATGGAACCCTAGAAGTTGCAACGCTCTTCATGCACGCTGTGCTTCATCGACTGGGATCCCTTCAGCCACATGAGCAGCCAAGTGGACAGACTTTGACGAGTCACAATGCTCGAGTTGCTTATGAAACCTGGTTCCACAACACCATCATTCAGCCGATCTTGGGTGAGAAAGGTGCAAGCGGTGACTTTCCACTGCCTGGCGTTCATGCTCTACGTAGAGAGGCGGGCCAGGCAACCGACCCCAATTTGCTCCTCAAAGCTGATTTCCTTGCGCGCAGAGGTCTTCAAACTGGTGCCTGGGCAAACATGAAGGAAGATGTGCGCGCAGCATTGCTGCCACACGTTCTCAGGCCATTGGTATCTGCCTCCATCGGAGACACCTTTGAAGAACTTGTTGCTGCTAGCATGGGGGGCAATCGCTTCGTGATTTTACGGTTGCTCATGGCTGGAGTGGAGGAGGAGAGTGCCTCCTGGCGTATTCTTCCTGACCTTGCACGTGCAGCCAGTCTGGCGTGGATCTTGCCATTCATGCAGTTGGTCCGGGACAAGGAGGGGGGCAAGATAACCATGAGAGAAGCTCGCACCACAACGATACGAAAATGGCTTGAAAGCAGAGCAGGTCACGAGCAGCACCATGCCTGGATCACCTTCCGTAATTTCGAAGCCGCTTGGAACGCAGCTTTGGCATCCGACCAGTTACGAGATGGCTGTGGAGTCATTCGGCTTCCAAGAATCACCCTAGAATCCCCACTGGCAATGGCTTGCCCTATTGCGAATCCTGAAAAGCCGCAGCATGGTGACATTGAAGTGGGAAATCTAGACAAGCCAGAGCACATTGCATCACTTGGGTTGCATCACCTTGCAGTGAGCCACAACAAGCTGATAGCGCAGGTCAATGCCTATCTCGTTGCTTCGAATGCCATCGCCGCACATGTGAGAGCTAGATTACATCCTTCAGCGGGACTGTGCCAGTCCAGTGGCCAGTGCCAACCCGCAGCAGAGACGTGCCACGACCAAAGTGTGCGACTGATACAGAAAGCAAGTGCAACGGACTTGTTTGTTTTCCCATCGCAGCTTGAGGATGCTTGTGCAGTCGAAGATGATGTGCATCCACATGGGCCGAGAACCTTCCGATTGGACTATAAGATCGGCACTTTTTGCCAAGACTTCTTTCAAGTTCCATGGAGTGCAGATCCCCCAGCTCGAGGTGAACATGATTTCGAAGCCATGGAGAGCGATCTTGCATGGCGGCTCATCGTGGGTCGACGGCCGCTCCAAATCTGCAGTGACCTGGGTGAGGAACAGGACAGTTCCAGGGACTCTCTTGAGTGAGCGAGTGGTCCGCCATGGACTTAGAGGTAGCACTGATCATGATTCATTCATGAGAGGTACAACTTAACCAGTGAGATGAGAGTGTTCGTCAAATTGGTTGGCTGTTTGAATGATCTTGATGCTAGGACCACAGCAACCTGGACAAAGACATCGACGCATTCCCATATCGCATTTTTCACGGCAGCGTGGATGTGCGAATCCTGAACCGTCTCAAAGGCTCCCGGCTGGTGCAACAAGTGTCGCTCAGTGAGGCTCTCAGTGTTCAAAAGGCTGAGGACCTGGAAATCTCCTTCTTCCGCGACACGTCCCATGCTTTGGAAGTGAGCAAAATCACAGGTGATTTGATCGCCCTATTGCTGGGGGTCAATGTGGCGCATGCTTTCCGCAGTGACATGACGCTGCTCGAGTTCGTGGAAGTCTTCACTTTGGTTGACAAGGCACCCCACCAAGATCGCAAGTGTGAAAATCACCCGGATGCACTGATGCGAATTGTGCTGAGCTAAGGATGTGTGTTCTTGCGATTTCAGATTTCTTGCAAAAGCGTCCATGTAACATAAATTGATTGAGCAGAATTTGAGCATGGATGAATGTGGATATATAAGTTGTATTTATCACTATATACATAATTACATTGCATATATATATATATTTTAAATAGGTGTACTGATGTTAAAGAACCGACATCTGGAATTCTTGGCCTGTGACACTTTTCGATTCACAGCCTTGCAGCTACAACATGCAGAGGCCGGCCACCAGCTTTGTGGCCGCAAAACTCCTTTGAATGCAGTGTTCTTGTTTCTCTTTCAGCGGACCTGCGCAGTCCAACGGATGTCGGGTTCTCGACGGTGGCGCTCATGCCATGGTTCCGACCCGCCAATGACGTGTCACAATTCCATGACTGTTGCTACAAACATTTCGGCCAGGTTTGTTGGGTCTGCCGCAGTTCGCCGCAAAGACACCCATTGACACCCGAGTCTACACCAAAAACGTATAGGAGCGATTGCGCGCGCATCGTTGGCCCCAATGTCACTTGTCATCAGCGCTGTCAGCGCCAGCACTGTGGTCCGACAACAATGCCACCTAGAACCGCCATGTCGCAAAAAAAGGAACAAAGGTTTCTTTGGGGGATATAAATGACAAGTAACAAACATGATCAAACATGTAAAACGAACAATGCAGTCATAGTGAGAATTGGAAGACCAGAAAGACATGTTGAAGTCGATCGCTGCCATTTTTCCACCTCGTTTTTTTTTGCAAATGTTTCTTGACTCTGGTGAGCCGAGGATTGAAACCCAAACCATAGCGCTGAATGAAGTCTTATTATATATACATATAACTTCACAATTGAAGGTAGCAGGGTTGAGGATAACCTGATCTCCATGGCTTACAATGCTGTTTGGTTTTGAAGGCAGTCTCAGCCAGGCTATGAAACTTGGATTGCTCATGTTTACTCATTCATGGTCCAATTTTCTCTCTAGGAAATTCCGGTACCGCTCCGGGAGTTTCTGCTACAATTCTCGGACTTGCCGCTACATTCGTTTTCCGCGAATGGTGTTCAAAGTTGGAATTCCATGCTTGTTGTGTCCGGATCAAGTATTTAAATTTAAGCTCGAACTTCAAAGCTGGGATCAAGTCTTTAAAGGTTTCTGGCAACTGAATTAGCTTGCTATGCTTGCTACGCCTCAAGTAGAACATGCACTCTTGAAAGCACTCTTGCAAGTGTGCAACGCCCAGGCACCTTCACCAGGTCTTCCAAGCACTATGAGCCCCAAGCGGCTACATGAGTATACTCATGACATCTCATGACATGATGCGCTTCGAAAGCAACACTCCAAATTCCTAAAATTGCAACCTGCACCCAAGGAACAACATGCAAACACCTTGTGTATTCCCTTGTTCCCTTTTTGTGGTACTTTCGAAGCGCTAGGTCGCTAGGTAACAATAAATTGCAGAAGTGCCCCGCACGGATTTCCCCGGACTTGACCTGTGGCAAGGTATACAGCCGGTCTCATCTGAATGCTGCTTTTTTGATCCAAGAGGATGTCTTCTCTCAATGTCTTGCCCGGTTTCAACTCATTTGGTGGCATTTCACTTTTTGTTTATTTCCACTTTCCTCCTTCTCAACCTCATCTCATGTAGGTCACTATAGTCTCCTTTTTTTGTGTCATTTGTCAACGTTCGCCGGTTTCCTTGATGTCTCGTGTGGCCTTGGCTCCTGAGAATTCCAACGAAGGACCATTTCCAAACGATGCCCACGGAGCTACAAACAGACCCATGACTTGTGGGACTGAGGCAGACTTGCCGGACGTTGCCACAGTCCCACTCAATGCGCTGGTAGCTTTACATTTGCTTTCCAAAGATATGCTTGCAATGACTCGGGGCGTAAGCATCAAGACGCGGGACACTGGAACGGAGTACACCAAATCCTTGGACCTTCCACCCCAGTTCAAAGACGGATTGGATAAACTCAAGGAGGAGTGTCCACAAGTGCTCGCGGTAGTATGCCGTTTGGTGGCACGCACAGTGTACTTGGCAAGTGAGCTGCCACTGGATCATGATCACCGGCATGATAAAGAAAAGTTCCAGAAAGCTCCTCCACTTTGTATGCTTGTCAAGCAGATGGACATCTTGGACGAACTTGCGGAGGTTGGAGAGGGCAAAGAGGAACAGGCCGAAGAGCTGCTTGAGATGCCAGTGCCACTTGATCTTGAATACTGGAATGACTGGAACGAAGGACATGCCATCGCAGCGGTGAAGATCTACCGTTCCTTGTGGTCCGAGATCCGGGAACCGTATCTGGCTCCTGCCAAGCCGGTGCTGGCTGCCTCCAATGACCCAGCCGTCGCCAGTGGCATGGCAAAGGGCTTGGCCACATCCGGCTGGCTTCAGCCCAAGGTGGGTCGTGGACGTGGGCCGCGTCGTGTAAAGGGCTTCAAGAAGAAGGAGTGCCCATCACCATGTGACAGTGTGCAATGTGTTCGCATATGCTTTGCGCAGTAATATGGCATGTCATGGCATGTCTAGGCCCATCATGACTCCATGACCTCAGGACCAGGATGAGTCCGAAGAGGATGGGGACTGGGAAGTGATTGACCCAATCGATCCCACATCTCCAGTGAAGACTCGGCCAGTGAAGGCACGGGGGTGACGACTCACCGATTCACTACCGATCGGTCCGTTTGGTCGTGAGCGTCAGGCTGGCAGAGGCAACAAATCCAGTGCAGAACGTCAGAGACAGGATCAGGCAGGCGCGACTTTCGTGGGTAAGGTGCGGTTGCTCAGTTTTTGACTGGTGAAACACGTCGCATCACATCGGCGGTTGAGCTTGCGATGCGTTTTCCAGAGGGTCTCAGTAGCGAGAGTTTGCTACTGGGAATTATGGTTGTAGCACGGGTTCTAGATTGCACGAAGTGGCACGTTAAGGACGTTCAAAACCCGTTCAATTGAGGTGCATTACTCAGGAAGCTGGGCAGACGAATTGGCGGCGATTATGGCCGACAAGACTGCCGAGTCGTATTCTGTCCGAACGAAGGGCGGACAAGGTTCATCCATCCCATTTGTTGCTGGCGGGCAGCCGGGAGAGCTGGTCTCTACTCCCATGAGCGAGGACTTCCCACTGATTGTGATCCCTAAGAAAGCTGAGGCCAGGCGGCTTGTGAACATAACATGTCGTGAATAATGTGTGAAGGCAATGTGTAACGTTTGCAAGTGCATTTTTCCTGGTGGCATTGGGCGCCACCCTGCACTTTTAAGTGACTCAAAGGTGTCGATGGGCTCGTGTTGATCGGTCTCAACGTATCCGCGCCAATGTCGAGGCAAATCCTCACAATCCTCAACGGCCACAAGGGCTTGAAGGTGTGGATGGGTTTCACTCATCGCAGATTCCCGGTAATTGTCGAGGTTGGTCGAGCTGACGTGCTTCAGGACTTGACTTCATGCGTGACGTGCTTGAGAAGTTCATCAACCAGAGAGCAGGCGGCCCAGACCATGGAGCCATGGCAGCATCGGCAATCTTTTTCGCCGGTTTTTTTCCCCTAGGCACCTTAGTGAGGAAGAATGTACAGAAGGACGGACAGACCCAACCCGGTATGTTTTTATGAATGTACATATATCATCATATGAGGGCCGTCCGTTATTGCCAGTGAAGGAATTTAGATGAAATGTTAAAACATACATGTCGCGAAAGGGAAACTGCAGTCCGCGAAAGGCCGGCGATAGGACGGCGAAAGACATGTGCCAACCTAGACTCATAACATACAATGTGCATAACATTACAATACATGACAATACATGACACATCCTTTTTCCCGAACAGAAACACGGATTTTCGCGAAAGGGCCGCGAAAGGCCGGCGGTAGGCCCGCGAAAGGGCGCATTGCCTGGAAGGGCAAGTGCTCATCCATGGCCTTGAAACCTTTGTTTGGATATCCCAAACACTGTGAACTCAGTGCAATGGAACAAGCTTATCACAATGCGCGAAAGGAACACCTGTGGTTTTTCTGCAAACGCGAAAGGACCGCGAAAGGCCGGCGATACAAGCTCAAAAAGAAGAGCTTTGTTGGACAACCCCCATATATCATCATATAACATCATATAACTGTTAACTCATATAACTCTATAAAGATTCATACATACATATGTCTCGAATCGAGCTAACACTATGCCAAAATATGCCAAACCAACCAATTGTTCTACACGCCAGTTGCCAATTTCGGCAAAAGTGCGACCTGCTCATATTTGCGCTGCAGTGGGAGGCAAGCCGCAAGTCAAGCACCCCTTTGACGAGGTTCGTTGAGCCACACACTGTGGCCTGAGCCCTCAGCCTACCCAACTCAAGCCAAGCAAGCCAAGATATCCAACGAAAGATGCGGCACAGGGAGTCACAAGTTGTCATACGTTTTTCCCTACATACTGACGAAAACCCGGAAGCCATCGACGGTGAAAATGATGTTTGAAATCCGAAAAGTCGAAAAGTTCGTGTCTCTTGTGCCTGAAGAGTCCAAACATGCGAAAACTCCGAACAGTCGGACGGATTCCGCTTCAATGCCCGAACAGTTCCGAAAATGCCAGGCAATTTGAACGTCGATGCTTTGACTCTTTGATTTTAAGCGCCTTCTGGCAAACAAGTTCACGCTGCTGAGTTGTGCGATGGACCTGCCACCTTTGTTCCTGCCAAGGATGCTTTTTTGAAAGGTATTCTTGAAGCTAGAAAATAGTCAAGCAAACCTTTGTGTTTGACATCCTTTATGCAGGGGATGACGGTTTGGAGGGAAGAGTATCAACCTGATGCTGGTAATGCAGGCCCCCAAGCCGGCATTATTAGCATTTTTGATGCCGCAAGGAGCGTCAGAAGTACTAGGACGTATATAATCTTTCTTATGTCCCAGTTTGCAGGGTCAATGATTCATGATATGCGGCCCGTGCTTCAGAGTGGGATGCTGCAACTTCAGTAGTAGCAACTTGCTAAAGGCTAGTGGAAGGTAGATGTGGGGATCCCAAATTATATTCCAAAAGCTTAGGCTCTGGGATGGGTACGTTGCCGCAGAATCACAACATATCACAACAAATTGATGTATCCCAACCCCCAATGGGTGTAGAACTGCAATCAAAACGTAGTTCCGTTTGTCCAGCTTGTTTCCATCGACGCCCCCTGTCTACCTCTTGGCCGGAAGAATGAGGAAAGAACCACTAAAGTAGTGTTAACTGTATATAATATAGCGATATGTACACATGTATAAGTTAACCACTATGTATAGAACCACTAGTTAGTTCTTGTGACATCTATATCTCTACAAATCTCAGGCAGCACTGAACACCCCACTGAACCCAAAGAAACATATGATACTCGCCTAAACTGCGCATCCCCCAGCCTCCCTTTGACATCAAATCCAGATCATCGGATCGAGCATGATTCGAGAACGATGTGACAGTGAGTCTCTTGCTTTGCGCTGCATTCACAAGAGCGGCACGCCTGCAAAGAAGCCTGCAAAAGACCAAAAGAGGGAAAACTATGCACTCAAACAACTCCACATACAAATTCTGCGCTCAGAATACCAGAAAGGGAGAACTATGTGTATCTGGCAGGCCGCGCGCGCCGAGAGTGCAAGATTTTTTAATTCCAAACAGTGTCACCAAACACTGCAGGAGGGCACATGGGTAGACATCAAGGGGTGCCTCGTCTAGAAATGCTAAACGCTCTCTTCAGGGCGTGCACGGCTTCCAGCAGCGACGGGCGCATGTTCCACAACCAGTGGCGGGCATCGCTCGGCGATCGCTTCGTTTCATGACGTTTCACCGGATCGCATCTCCGACTTCATTGGGATGCTACGGCGGCATGTGGGCGGCATGTCCGCTTGAAGGGCCCAATCGACAGAGGAGGTGGACGCCCAAAAGCTTCATCCCACGCTCCTCAAACTGTCTTAAAGCTCAAGGTGCTTGCGTTTGCTGCCTGTCATCGCGAGGGGGTTGCTTTCTCATTTCGTTTCAAGACAGGGGAAGGCGAATCATGGTCATCAACGGTTGAGCCTAGGCCGTTTCCCACACGACCCGGAACCCTGGAAAGGAAGATCCATGTTCTCAACACATCCGGGATGAGCTGGATGCTCAGACGACCTTGCATAGGGGGCGGTGCACCTCAAAATATCATCATAAAGCAAGGTGATAGCTCGCGAGGTCACGGCTTTTCTGTTGGTGTTTATATTGCTTGGTCGAAGCTCGGTCACATCAAACACCTCCATCGTCACACGCGTTTCGATCAAGCGTCCAAAACGTCGAACAGGGGCCCAAAGGGTCGGACACCGTCGAAACGCGGCGAATCGACGCTTGGTCGAACCATCCAGAAAACGTCGGAAAAATGGCGAGTCACCTGAGAGTCAACAAGAACCTCAACACCAGGGCCTGGTCAATATATGAACAAGTCGCAAAAGAGCAAAGAAACCAAAGCATCGAAGAGCGTGGAACGTCGGAAAAAAATCAAAAAACATAACAACATCTAAAGTTGCATCTGACATTGGAAAGTTAAACAGTGCAAACCCCCCAATGTCGACAACTCAGTTGCGTTGAAATCGACAAATCACCAAAGCGCTTCCACCCCCTCCTGGAATGTGTTTCCTCCTCCTCCTTTTCCTTGCTTTTGTTTGTCAGCCTCAAGTGATTGAACTCAAAGGCGGCATTCTGGGCAATGTTATATACAATGGTAGCACACACACAGATATGTATATACATATATCTATCTATCTACCTACCTGCCTATCTATCAATCTATATCTATATCTAAATCTCTATCTATCTATCTACTATCTATCTACTACCTATCTATCTATCTATCTATCTATTTATCTATCTATATCTATATCTATATCTATATCTATAATCATCCTGGAGTAGATAGAATGGACGAATTTTCGAAAAACAATTCACTCCTCAAAACCGGCCCTTTCAAACCCCATACATAGAATATGGTTTAGGGGCTTCTCTTCCTTTTCCTTTGTCCTTTTCCTTCTCTGTTTGTTCTATTTTCTGTTCGTCTAAAGAAAAGAAACAAGGAACGGAAAGCTTAGATAATACACACAGGAACAGAACATGAAAATAACAAAGGAGCAAATACCGGAATGGGAGGAGTTGATCAGAATCTTATCACTATATTCTATCTATAGGGTCAGTCTTCATAAAATGAAAGGGATGTCAAAAACCCTGAGTTTTTTCAAAAAGAAAACACCCCCTACGAAAGTAGATTCTATCTACTCCAGGATGATTATATATCTTTATCTATCTATCTACTATCTATCTATCTATCTATCTATCTATCTATCTATCTATTTAACTATCTATCTATCTATCTATCTATCGATTTATCTGTCTATATCAGTATCTATCTACCCCTATCTATCTCTATCTATCTATCTCTGTCTATCTATCTATCTACCTCTCTATTTGTCTATCTATATCAGTATCTATCTATCCCTATCTATCTATCTATCTATCTATCTATCTATTTACCTATCTATCTATCTATCTATCTATATCAGCATCTATCTATCTATCTATCTATCTATCTATCTCTCTCTCTCTCTCTATCTATATATCTATCCATATGGCCGCCGGCCAAACTTGCTCAAAAGCCTTAAGGACGCACCATTGAGAAGGAGGATGCCAAACAGGTGGCCTTGGCCTGGGACGATGTTGAGATGATGGGTGAGGCCCTCCAGCCGTTGCTCATGCCGCTGGGGCAGGACGTCGACGTGACGGAGGAGAGAGGGAGGCGGGTGTCGCAGGATCTGTCAGGTTTAGGGCGAGTGCAACATCGCATACAAATCGATTGGAACTTGCGGGCATGGTGGCAGCGCAGAACTCTGTTGTTGCGTTTTCTTTGTCGCATTTTTGCAGTTTGCGCTTCGACATGTTTGACTGGGGCAGGTTTGTCACTGAGTTCCACCAACACTTCGAGCAGCAGCAGAATAGCATGCCTCGACCAATCAAAGATCATGTTCAGCCCTCACAGCTGCAAACATGCATCCTTGAAGCTAAAGGGTGGACCTTGCGCAAGTCACCGGGAGACGGGCACTGTCAATTTCATTCTGTCGGCTTTGCGGTGGGTGAAGGTCATGAGACGGTGCGCTCTCATGCACTTGCATGGATCACGCAGCACAGAGAGGAATACAAGATGAAGATGGTAGTGGAACGCAATGGCACTCCAGCCTCATTCACCGACACTGTCGAAGATGATGAGTTGGAGAGCGCCTTGGACAAGTACATCGCACGCATGTCGGAAGGGGCTTGGGGTGACAACATTACCTTGCATGCCTTGGCCCACCATTACCAGCGGGAGATTCGCGTACTCACAGACAATGTGAAGAATGCCTGGGTGCAGATTGAGCCAGGCTTCGGCAACCCCATCTATGTGGCTTTCTACGCGGAGTTTCACTACGACTCTGTGATCACCGAGACACCGACTCTGTGATAGCCGCGGGGTCACTCCGCCGTCAGCTTCGGGCTTCATTGCTCTCAGCTTCAGCCTCAGCCAATCCTTCCTTTGTTTTCTCATTGTGTAATATTGTGTATATGTATGAGTGCTTTAGATTTCCTAGGCAGAACAATGATATAGAAAACCTCTGATTGGTATTCAGTGTGGATACTCTGTTGTCACTCAGTGTGTACATCTTGTGCTGTGCCGATCTGAAAGGATTGAGGCAAAGCTGTAATCGCGCCGGCGCATGTGGAGTACACCACCATCCGCAGCATTGCACACCACCATCCGCAGCATTGGCTGTGGAGGCTGGCGCCCTCTCCGTTGAGGAGCGGCCTTGGAAACACAAGCGCTGTGTACAGTGCTTGCGCGAATATTTGAATATTTATTATCACTAATTAGTAGAGCTTGCAGCAGCAAGTTGCTGCGTGGTGCATCGGGCAGCCGAGATTCGTTGTGTTTGCTTTGTCTTTGACCAGCTTGGTTTTGCACGGAGAAGTGTGTGCTTTCCTCCTGTTTGTTTTTTGAACCGACCGTGCATCTTTTTGCCATAGTCCCTGAGAACACCAAAGGTGGTTTGCTCAGATAATTGAGAGTTAGATTTAGATAGACACTGATAGTCTTCAAGAGAATCATCGTGCACCAGAGGGTTGCAGGAGAGAGCACCAGCTTTGATATCAAGCCACAATGCTAGGTGAAAACACTTGTACATAGCCTTCGCAGATTTGCGACAAACTTGCTCCAAGCTCGATCCAGCATCCCTCTTGGTCAGGCAGAGGCACAAACATGAACAGGGAATGCCTTGAGCAGCTTTCGTGCAGCGCAGAGGATGCGCGGACAGCCGAGAGCAAGGCCTGTAAGCGGACGGGCACAAAACACAAGCACGTTGTAAAGTTTGGATTATTAAGCTGCTGGACAATTGGTTATTTTTTGATGATATCTGGGACCACTTTATGTTGTCGCCATAGGGTTTGCCGCTGTCGCATCGGCGCATCAAGTCCGGCGCTATCACCAATGCTCGGTTCACGTCTTGGACCGTGCCCTTTGACAATCGACTCACCGGCATTTTGAGTGAGCATGCGCAACAGGTTTCCAAACAAGCACGCGCCCAAACCAAGGATTGAACGGCAAACAACCGTTTTTTTGGGGAAGAGCACGATTGCATTCAAGAGAGGACCAGCATGAACCAGGAGGAAATTGAGTAGAACCCAGCAATCTCCAAGCGCAAGCTGAGCTTCCACATTGCCGAGGGCCAAACAAGGTCACCTCTTTTTCCACTCTGGCTTGTCAGCTCATCAAGGGGCGTGCGTGATCTCATGCTTGCAAAGTCGGCCTTGCCTATGGCCCTCGGAGGCAAGTGGAGTGGCCAAACAACATTCTGTGTTGCTCTCAGTGCGATTCAGCCATGTCGCTTTCAAATCACAGACGGCTGAACCTAGCTGTGGATTTAGACAAGCTCAGGCATGGCTAGCGGCTAGCCTATATAACTATATAACTATATCTCTGCCATCGTTGGATTCGTACACTCTACTGCAGGCTTGTGAGTTCTTACGAGTTAGTTCATAATATGCCACCCAAATCGCCCAAAGGTGGTGCCGATCCAGGTCAGATGCAAGACAGGCAGTGGGATGTGACCCTACTTGGAGGACCACTGGCTCGGAAGCTGCGGCCCCAGATGAACAAGATGCAGCAGACTACAGATCATGACAGTGATGAAGCACCAACATCCCCAGAGGTGATCGATGCATGATGCAGTAGTTTCTGTGGCGTGAGTTGTGTTGGTCATCTCATTTGATCCGATTTGATCAGGCTCAAGTCTTGAGTCTTTTTTCCTGGAGAAACGGCTAGCTCCATCCTGGATTCATCCTTTCCGCTTCTGGATTCGCCCGTGTAAACCATGGAACCTTTCGGCGTTTTGGAGGCAGGCATCAAAAGACCGCAGAAGAGCCACATTCTGAGTGCTCGTGGCGGTTGTTGGGGCTAGATGTTTTGGTTTCTGTGCGTCGCTGCGGCAGGGCCGGACCTATGATGATGGCAGCTCAGTCCAAGACTCTGTCCTGGTGCATTTCAGGACCGGTGTTAAGAACGGATTCCGGAGGCTCACTGTGTTGGTCGCACTTCACTAGACTTTTTGACAGTGTAATGGCGTGTCATTTTGGGCGCTGGGTGCTGTAGGTGCATCCGAAGGACCATTTTGCTGGATGACCGGTGGGCTTGTATTTCCTTCTCCGTTGCACACCTCCGCCGCGTTGCGTGCTTGCAATTCTTTGTTGTTGTGAAAGTCTACGCGGCTGCAGGCAAGGTCCTTCCCTACATGAATTCCCGCTCTCAACGACTCGGCAACAGACGCGCAGTTTACTTTCTAGTGCATGGGCGGCCAATACACATTGCATGACATCAAAAGGCTATGTTGGTGCTGTTACAGGTTGGGATTGTTGTTGTGGTTGTGGAGGTGGTAAGTTTGGGCAGCAAGGGGTTTGCCGTTCGTTGCGGTGGAGGATGTGCGTTCGTGGTGGATTGTTCTTGTTTCGGCTGCTGCTGCTGCTGCTGTCGTCATCGACATGGTCGCGCTTGCCGTTGGCTGGGTGTTGGGTGGGTGTGTGGGGTGGGTGGGTGGAGAGCCAACCCAGAGCCTGGTGGGGGAGAGCGAAAAAAGAGGTGGCCAGGAGGTTGTGGGGTGTTCTGATGCAAGTGATGTAATTGACGGCGAGTAGTGCATCATTAGCATCATGAGGCATGAGGGCTCAGGAGGTAATGTAAACCATCTTCTTCCAGGTGTGGGAGTTTATGTCGAGGATAGGCAAGAGGTGGTTGGCCAGGAAAGGGTGATGTGCATTTCTAGTGGCCATTGGAATAGTGTTCGACCAGGGGTGAAGAAAGGGAGGTCAGACTTCTTTTTCAAGGCTTGCTTTCAGGCCCACAGCCAATGAGAGTTTTGTCACTAGACGAAAAAATCTGCATCTGTGAGGGCAGGAGAGTGAGGAGAATGCTGTGGGGAAGGTGGAAGACAGGCATAGCGGAGGAGGATGCGGTAGGAAGCTTGGAGTTGCTTGGCAGTGCCCTTTTTAACCGTGAAGACGCCTGTCAACCATACGCAATAGGGCACCCCATATAGGGTGCGAGTTCATGTAATGATGCGGTCCGTTGAGGGCAGGAGATAGAACAGATTACAGCAGGCAAGCTTTGAATTGCTTTGGGGTGCCCTTTTTTAACGGTGAAGAGGCCTAGTTGCCGGACTCAAAAGGGCAGTTCGTATCGGGTGGGAGTTCATGTATCCTCACGAAAGCCTGCCGATAGCCTCGCCCATGAGCCCTCCACAGCCATCTTTGCTCACTGTTTGGCAACACGCGGCAGGCAAGCGCCCCTCACTTCGTTAGGGGTTGCCTTTTTCACCTCCAAAACGCTCCTGAACCAGGACGAAAAAGGGCACCCCCCGCAAGCCTATGTATTCTACTTTCTTCACCTCATGAAGGTACTCTTTGCCCGAGTTCCTTGGGAGTTCCCTTTTCCAGCTTCAAAGCGCCCTTGAACCGAGCGAAAAGAGAGCACCCCCCCCCTAACCCATGTATTCCGCTTTCTTTTTCCAACAGCAGTAGCATCACTGCTATGTCGACATCCCCGCATAACAACGACACTCTCTCCCCTAGCCCTCGCGTGATCTCAGCAGTCACCTTTCCTCGTTCCATTCTAGTCTATCTGCGACACAAGACAAAGCAACAGCACGCCAACGCCCCTCGGTTACTTCGGGGGTGCCTTTTTTAGATAAATCTTCACAACGCCCCTTGAGCAACAACTGCGGGGGCACCCCACTCCCCCACCTGTACTACCACTTTCCACCTCTGCCTTCTATTTCCTCATTCGTGACACTGTTCCAGTGCGCTCCCGACTTCACCCCCCATTGCCATGTTGATGTCTTCTTACAGAGGCTGGCTTTCGTCCCCCCCTTCTCAGGTGTATATATATACACATACATATGACAAATGTTTGGCATACAAAAATAGAGGAACATGTTGGAATTCTACATAATGACAGAAATAAGCAAAAAGCAAAACATTGGCTCGCAGATGATTCGCTGGTTTGCTGGTTGGATTGACTTGTGTCAAATCAGTCAGCAAGGGAGGGGCCAGATATTTTGAGATGGACGTGTTGCAGTGGTTCACAACGCCATAAACATCCTCAAGATGAAGTACTGGCCGAATGGCCACTCAGGGTGCCCGTCAAAGTCAGTGAGTAACCAACCTCGACTCTACAAGTTGACTTGTGAGGGAGTAAAGGCAACGATTGCACGTTCCGGCTTGTGATACGAAAGCATGTGTGCCATGCCTGAAAATCTAAAGGCAGGCATCAATGACATCCTTTTCCGGCACAGCCAAAAACATATGAACAAATGATGACATTGTCCACCTTCCGGAATGGTGTGGATGTCGGATGGTTGGTGGAGCCACCAAGACCGTCCTGTGATCGAGGTGGTGAACCTGCTGAGATCTACCGACAGGTTCTGGCGAGAAATACTAGTTGACGACCAGACTGAACATACATATATACATATATATATATAATATATATATATATATAGATATATGAATATATGATAGAGTGACTTTCAGGTACCATTCCGCACTGGACAGAAATCCCCAACAGGTATATATGTTCTGCAAGTTTGACAGAGTCAGTATTCGGAACCACCAAGGTTTGATGTTGCTCGTAGGTGCCAAAGTTCAGCTTGGATCTTGTGCTAGGAGGGGAGTCCGGATGGTGCTCCATCGCTTTGGCACGGAGGAAAAGTTCATCCTTCTGGGCAAGGGCAACCAGCTCTACTCGCTAGGGCTGGTCCCGGATGCAGAGACACCACAGGAAATCCTGCTGAATGATGAAGCATGGAAAGTGGAGGCCGGCTCGAGCGAGGACATTGGCGCTGTTCAGATCCTGGGAACCAAGGAGGAGGCCTGGGTTGGACTCGTGCGACAGAAGGACTGATAGAATTGCTTAGTAAGGAATAAGGGCGGCTGGATCAAAAAGGAACCTCTATTGTGGGCTCATTCCCGCATTCCCTACTAAGCACCGGTCAGATGATGCCACTTCTTTCATTCTGCCTTGGGATACACGCGCAGCTGGGTTTGCTCGGAGAGCAGTCCTCCCTCACACACAACGATGCAGACACTCTACCATGCTCTAGCCATTTGTTACTTTCCTACTGGGCCCCCCCGTTTCATACGGCGCTACTGATCGCTCGCGTAGCAGCCCCGGTTGTTTCAAGTCAGATGCTCTCGCGGAACATCCACTTGAACATCGGGCCATAGAATCGTCACTTGCGTGTCGCCCTGAAGCAACATAGGGGTCCGAGCGCAATTCATGATTCGGATCCCTGTGATGCCTCCAAATACGCGCACTTGCTCACATTTCCGCCTTGCTGGTTCTGGACTGCTCGTGTTTGTCTTAGTCAAATCCTTCACAGTGTGCATGCCGGAGCATTTTTCCTTTGCCGGTTTCTGTGGTTCTAGTCATCATGTGTTCCAAAAACTTTGACGCCGGCGCAAAGGGTCCAGAGTCGGAGCGAGACAAGTTCAGTGTCGACAAGGGGAAGTGTCAGGTATGAAATCAACTCGAATCATTATGTCCAAAAGATGTGGAATGTATTTATATAATGTTATTGTATGTTATTGTTATTGATTCGCGGCAACTTGGTTGCGGTTGATTCTGTGCAGAGATGGTGCATGTTTCCCGAACCTCACTCTTTGCAGCATTGCAATTCATGGTGATGCGTTTCGCCCGGGGCTCCTCCGGGTCTCGTTTGGGATGAGAGCTCCAGACAACCTCATTTCTCCGTGTGTTCTTGGACAGGTGGCGTTGAGCTTCTAAAAAGGCTTGGCCTTTGTCCGAATTGTGTGTGTGTGTCTTTTATGGATGTGCCTTGCTGCTTTTTGGTCTTAGTCGTGCATTAAAATTAGATCTCGCTGCTGGAGACTTCGGTAGAGATATTTGAAGATATTATATAGACAGGACGATAGAATGCCCAGCGGCATTGAGGTATATTATTGAGGTTGTGAGGCAGGAATCTGTACATCGCACGCGGCTGGCCACGATTCTGATTCTGCCCTTTCGCATTCATGACTGCCAAAAAACACTTTGGGGATCTCGTGGTCGTTGCTCTACATTGGCGCCCTCCTAGAGATGCACCACAAGTGATGTAATGTAAGCAAGGTTTTCTTCTCGACACCTTTGTTAGGTGTGGGCGGCTACTCATTCCTAGCAATCGATCTTGTGGGCTTATGGCTGCCCACGTGTCATTTGATGGAGTATTCGTTTACCGTGTCATGGGACTGCAGGATGCCATTCGTGTCCCTCCCGTCATCGTTTCGTTGCGTTTTGTTCTGGGTTGTGCATTTCCACAGTTGGTCCGATGGCTTTGGCTGTAGTTTGCCCTGCTTCACTGTGTGGACGTGACATGTGCAGATTTGTTGCTGACAGTACAGCTGTGAAAAAAGACTGAGCAGCCAGCCAGTTCTCAAATAGTTGCTTGTGGACACGATTCCCACTCGGTATGTTTCAACAATTTAGTTTCAAACACCGAGTGGCCAACAACTGACTGTTGAGATGGTACGCAGAAGCCGACCCTTGGCCCCAGCCACCACGTTCTCAAGTGGCGGGAGAGGTGACCATTGCATCAAATGCCCCCCCGGAAAAGAGGGTCATAGGGATTTGCAACATACAACCGTAATCCGTAATGCATCCGATGACATGTTGCAAATCTCGATAAAATCCGATGATTACGTGGATTCTCGATAAAATCCGATGGCATGAGAGAGAGAGAGAGAGAGAAAGAGAATGAGAGAGAGAGAGAGGGAGAGAGGCGTAGCGATATGTAGCGATACTTGTGTTGGCACGTGCATGGTTGGGTCACCTCGATGGGCCTTTCGGTGATGCGCCATGCTATTCGTCGGCCGATGTTCTTGCCTTTGTTCTTCGGCCGATGTGAGGAGGGATTCTAAAATCCAACACCATGACACGGACTGACTACAAAAATTGAAACAAACAAGTGCCCATCAAAACAAGATCTTGGAGATAGATTCAAACTGTTGAATCTGCCAAGGCGCTTGTGGTCAACCATATGCTTGAACTGTTCTCTGTGAAGTATGCTGAGAGCCAACTTGGCCGCAGACTTTTGCCGGAGCATAAGGCGCTATGCATGGGTTCCACGTTTAGCACCTCTAGTTGCAGGTCGTTTTGAATGTCCGCCAGAACCAGCTTTCAAACCGGTGCAGGTGATCCAGCTCGCTTGCAGCGATATTCACTTTTTGGCCTTGACCACGCATGGTGCGGTGTTTGCTTATGGTCAGAACAATTATGGACAGCTGGGCCTGGGCAATGCTGACCAGGTCGAAGAACCCACGCAGCTGGATCTCAAGATGACTGTGGCGCAAGTAAGCACCCCTGCATTCGCCACCTTCGTGGCTTGTGGTCAAGCTCATTCAGTGGTCATTTGTCAGAATGAATCGGTTCTGTGCTTCGGAATGAACAACACTCATCAGTGTGGCATGAACTCAAATGGTCAATCTCTTGTCACTCCAACCCCCCTGAATGCCCAGAAGCAGATCATTAAAGCTTGCTGTGGCTCGGCCCATTCTCTTTTTCTCAGCTCTGATGGTACTTTGCTCGGCGCGGGAAATGGTGCAAAAGGCCAATTGGGCCCCAACTACCGCTCGAGTCACCTTCTTTCAACCATTCAGTTGCCAGACACCTTCACAGGCAAGATCATTGACATTTTTGCACACTCGCAGTTGAACGTTTCGGTGCTCATGAATGACCATGGCCGCTACTACGTATCTGGAGAAGCGGGTGAACTCATCGGAAGCAAGCAGGTCATAGATGACTTCTTCTTGTTGGTATTGGTAAAGCAGCATGCTGTGACTGTGGGTTCCCGGCTTATTTGTATGCAGCCAGAGACTCAGCGCTACCAAGCACGCTACAATGTGCCAGCCTGTTGCGATGTGCAGGTGGTCGGTGGTGCAGTGGTGGGTGAAGAGCAACCTAAGATTTTGCACTTCGGTTGGGATACTATACGTGCTCGAGCGCCTTTTTTGACGAACAGCATCAAGAGCAAGGGAGGATCAGCTGCCCGCGCTGATCATCAAGTGAGAATTGAGAACTACTCATGGAATGCCGTTGATGCATATGGCAAATATTTGCACCAGGACAATCTGGATGCCGAGCCCGAAGTCTTGTTAGAGTTGCTCCAGCTTGCATCTGAGTACAAAGATGAGACCGGGCTTCAGAGTCTTTGTGCAAGCGTCTTGCGCCGCAAGGTCACCAACGACAATCTATGCACATGCTTCAAGAAGTGTATGAAGTTCAAGTTCTTCGGTTTGGCCGCAGACGTCTTGAAGCAAGGACTGCTGAGAAGGTTAGCGGTCCTGTCGGCCCAGCGTAGGCAACCGGTCTTGTGTGAAGGATGGATATAATTTTTGAAATAAGAGTTCCATGCCCTTTGGCAAACATGCTACTAGTAATTGACCGTGAAGATGTTCTGTCTGTGTTCAGGTTTGGGTCGCCCAGTCTGAGCATTCCAAACGTGTTTGAACTTCCTTCCCTGTTGAGGACTGAACTTGACCAATGCATGCGAGGCATTAAACATTGCTGGTGATGCAGTGCGCAAAGCGGTTGACGACTCTGAGAAGACGATGGTTGAACACATCCGGGACACAGTAATGGCATTTGCGATCCTTCATGCCAAGGTGGTTGTTGAAGATGCAAAGTTTGCAGACTTGCAGCCTGAGATTGCGAAGCAGCTCTTGCAGAAGTTGGCCAGCATGAACCTGCTGAAGACTTAGGGCCGCACTTCCCAAAATCCGGTTGACCTACCCATTTCGTCCTGCTTGAACAGCATGGAGACCTACTAGAGGTCGAGCATGGTTGCTAAGCAACTACCGCCCGCAGGTCCCTAAAGCCCCTCTTTGTGCCTGTTGCATGGGGCACGTTTCACCCTTTAACGGACACACTCAGGGGCTGAAAAGCGGTGGAGGCACCAACCGACTTTCACAGCTCCAGTTTGGTGCTAGGACAAGCAAGGAAGAGCTTTGTCCTGACATCCAGATGATCCTATGTTCGCCCCTCCCAGTGCAGGTCGAGATGAACCTGAAGAGAGCGCAGGCCCAAGATCTCCGTAGTCGATCAAAGACTCCACAAACAGCTTCGAAAGAGAGAGAGGGAGGGAGAGAGAGAGAGAGACAACTTGCAGCTTTACCCCGCAGACGCACACACACACATAAACACCCACACAACGCCACACGGAGTTCATCAAACGCCACGGCGCCCCGAATGCTCGGCCAAGGCGATATCGTCTTCGCCGCCTTCACCCGGGAGTCGAAGCAAGAGAATTTCCTGTCCTACCACGAGTTCGCAACATGGTTCAACGGTAAAACGATGGCCCACATGGCATCACCCCTAGGAAAAAACCGGTGGGAATCCATGTGCTAAACGCGGCTAACCACGTTTCATTCTTCCACCTTCTCACGAGCTGGCTGGCTGCAGCAGCTCACCTGAGGTGATTTGGCTCCTGAGTGATCGAAACCCTTTATGCCAAGACTGCCTTCGGGCGCGTGACACCTGACATCTGACCCAGTCCTTCAGGGACTGGGCCACGGCAGGGGGTGCCAGGATGCCAGGCACGGATGCTCCTCGGGCCCTTGGGAGGGCATAGGATGGCACTTGGGTCCTTTTGGGCAACAATCTCCGACTTTGTTGAACTTCTTCAACGTCTACAAGTTCTGGCGGGTACTTGGCATCTCTGGAGATGCGGCAACAACAGACTGGGTACTGTTGGGGGTGAGCATGGAGATGGATGGATGTCCGGGCAGCACCTGGTTTGGCATTGGCCGCCGCAAAGACGGTGGTCGGAGAGAGCGTGACTGCTGTATGGGTACTGCATGCCACATTCACTGGCCGTAGTGCCAGGGGCAAGAAACCAACTCCGTAGAACATGAAGAACCTCAGTGGCCGCCACCCGCGTGGCGGCATCCTCCACTGCTTCCGCCAGTTTACGGTTTTCGCTCCGTTGAGTGGATCGAAAACATGAAGAGGTGCCAATGCGCAGGGAACGGCAATGAACGGCACATGTGCTTGCAAGTGCAGTGGATATCAGCATGGTTGGGCAATTTGTGTGGCCATCGGCATGTAAATAAGCTGAGCAGCAAGCCACTTGCGGCACGCTTGTGCCTCAGTGGGACAGAATCATGCGTCACTAAGTTGTTCCTTTACTTCTCGAAATCATGCACACAATTATTCCCATTCATGCTTCTTTAGGATATTCCTTTTGGATCACCAAAGGTGATTCGCTCAAATAGTTCGTGTCAGCGCAGATTTGGACACAGCGGGCGGCCGGAGTGAATGTAGAAAATTTGAATCACGCTTGATCTCGCCTGGTCCAGGAACAGGCCTCTAGCAGCTCTTAAATACCTGTTTCCAAAGGCTAATGTCAGGCTAATGTTTGCAAAAGCTAATAGATGTGACTGGTGGGATACATGATGGTAAAGCTTGGGCTCTTCAACATAGCTTGCCAACCCGATCACTCGCTTTCCTAAAACCACCCAAGGCAGCTCGAATCTATCACCGCAGCTGTTTCGGCTGCCCGCTGACCCGGCAGGACTCACTTCGTTGCCAGGATGAGGGAGCCATGGGCGCTGCTCCGTGCGCGCGGGTGGAGCGCCCCACAGGGCCACTGTCACGGGAGACGCACGAGGATTTACAGACCTTCGACCGCGCATTGTTGGCGCAGGTGGGTGGGTGGGAATGAGATTTGATAAAGAGTAATTAGTTCTTTTGGGGCTTGTTTTGTTCCAGATTGGCCACCGTGATCAAGAAACCCTCCCTAGTTTCTTTTGAAGTCGGAGCTGTCACTTATACCGCCTAGGAGCAGGCACATGAAAGAAGACACCATTCGGTTTTAACCAAGCCCACCGCTCGCGGACATGTCTTCGTTGCTGAGGCAAATACTGGATGGAAACATGATCATTCTGATCCGTTTCTCATCCCATACCTGTCAGGTGAAGAAAGGGAAGGTTGAGGAGAACTACGAACTCCTAGAAGAGTTGGGCCATGGAAGCTTCGGGGTGGTCAATCGTGCCAGAGACACCCGGAGCACATGCGTCTCAATGGCCACGTATGTGGCAGTGAAGACAATACCCAAAAAGAAGATTTCAGATCCAAAGTCGGTCAAAGATGAATTCAACGTCATCCGGCAATTAGATCATGCACATATTTGCAAGGCCTATGAGTGCTATGAGGACCTTGGGATGGCTGGAATTTGCTGCATAAGATGTTTACTTTCTCAAAGTGTTAGTCATCACTGCTTGGGATATCTACAAGGGATAGATATAGCTGCTGGGTCTATCCTATTACCTGTAACAGTGGATGATGATGGTTAGGTCTTTCTCTACAATAGTGATGTTCTTGTTTATTGACTATTACAGGTAATAGGACATACCCAAGATAGATGTTTGCCATAGGTTTTGGTCCGTGTGGACCTCACAGTGTCACACTACACGGAGGATCGCCGGCATATTTATTTGGTGATGGACATTTGTTCTGGTGGCACCTTACTGGAGACGTTGTGCGTCCAGCAGCGCTTTCCAGAAGCTCAGGCGGCGAAAATCATGCGCCAGACCTTATCTGCGCTGCTGTATTTGCACCAGGCGACAGTGACAGTAAAACCATGCAAAAATCCAGTCCCCGAGTGCCCCTGTCTTAGAACACGAACGCAGATGGGCACCCTTTGTACATGATTCAAGGCCAAAGGTGTGGGCTTCATCTCTGACTCTTGGTGGATGCCTCTTCCGCGAGGCCAATTTCATTTTCCGTGATTTGAAGACGGAGAACATTATGTTTGCCAAGCCGGTGAAGGACCGGCAGTTCCGCGAGACCGGCACGCATGAAGCGAGACGGTTTGTACGCTCCAGGGCCCAAGTCCACAGATCAACATCAATGGACTCTGCAGAAGGCGTAGGTGTGACATCAGTCAGAGCAACCCATCCATTTTGAGAGAACACCCAGTAGGTCAGTAGGTGTGACATGAATTTTGGTGAAAGTAGAACATAGATAACATAGGCACAAACTAGAGATCCGCCTTCCACCCATTGGTGCGACTTCGATCGTCCCAATCCTCTCCACACAACGATGCTCGTCACAGCATACTAGCTACCATGCACTCTGTTCTTTACAGAACCTGGATATTTGTCCACTTCCGATGATTTGATCTTAGGGGAGTATCTTCCTACCATGTAACCTATACCTTATCCATCCATCTCCTACCTTCACCTCTCCAGGAGGGTGAGGTGGGCAACATCAAGCTCATCGACTTCGGCCTCTGTTGCCCCTTCCGCCCCGGCGCCAAGATCACCAAGGCCGCCGGGACGCCCTACTCCGTGGCCCCGGAGCTGGTGACGCCGCCCGTGCAGTACGACCAACGGCGCCTCGGTGGGTGGGTTCGGTGCGGTGCGGTGGGCAGGGACGGACCGGGGGGATGGGATGGGGTTTTGGAAGTGGTTGGGTTGGGATATATTGATAATGTAGACGTTGGATTAACCAACCATCCATACAAATCAGGTGAACAGACGATGGGAGCGCGAGTGGTATGAACAGGATTTCCAATTCAAATTGGGGGAGTTTTGAGCACACACGCATGTTTACAAGGGACGAAGGATCCATCGCGGATGTCGCTTTGGGGAGCCGCTTCTCCGGTCGTCACATCACCGAACAGCATCGAGGAATTGTCAAACAGACACACCCCGTCACCAGATCAACCGCTTTCGGAGTCCAATTTCTGATCAATCATGACCGGTCGGTCGTCATCCATCGCTCAAAAACGAAGGTTCCTTCACAATGTGGCTTTACACTGGTGTTTTTTGGAAGACGCCAGGGCTTTTCACAACTTTTGGGGGGTTGGTCCAGCATGGTCCGGGCCCCTTCGGTGTGTTTCTTTTCGGCCCCAGCCCCGGGGGGCGGTCTTTAGCGGTCTCACCGGGTGACGGACGTTCCAGGTGCGATTCCTGGAGCGCTGGCGTGGTGATGTTCATCGTGCTGAGTGGACAGTATCCATTCCATGGGAAGACCAAAGACGAGCTCTTGAACAAAATCCGAGCCTTGGATCGCAGCAGCAGCAGCTTGAGAGGATCTTCCAGAGGAGAGGTCGGTTGTGGATCAGAAGTCTTTCGGGTTCCACCTGTATTGTATATTGTATGTTGTGATTTATATATAGACTCGCAGTGTGTATTATAATGTATTATATATATATACATACTTGTTACTTGTTAGTGTCCAATCACTTCCGCACCATGTCGACATGCGACCCGGTGTTTCCAAACATGTCTTCTTCTCCAAGGAAAAGAGCCCGTAAGCTTCAAGAATCCCCGCTGGAAGAAGATCTCCAAGGACGCCAAGTCCAGCGTGGCGGAGCTGCTCCGCAAGAAGCCCGAGAACCGCTGCTCCATCGCCGACGCGCTGCGGCACGTGTGGCTCAAGGCCAATGTGACGCTGCCCAGCGCTGAAGTGATGAAAGGTGCGATGCTGGACGCCAGTTCAGTTGGTCGTTAGATGTCGTTAGTGTTTCGTTTTTTGGGGTGCCAATTGGGGCCAATCGAAGGCATGTCGTAGGATTGATGCCCAAAATCTGATGGCTGATCATTCGGGGATGCCAGGTGATGGTGAGGAAGGTCGGGTGATGCACTTGGTCTTGGGGCCCAGTGAATGGCTGCACAGGTGAGCTCGAAGATAGCTCGCACAGAGGTCCAACAACGGTCGTTGGGGGGACCAGCCATCTTGCAGTAGAACCGGCTTCCTGTAGCTATACGACGGATGTGTCCAGATGTTGGGTTGAACCTGTCAGAATCATATCCACTGCGGATGTTTCCAGATGTTTGGTTTTTCGTTTTGTACTGCCTGCTTTCCAAAAAGCCGTGGACAAAACCGGAGAGGCATGGTTGAGACGATGATCCAATTCCAAGACCTCAACATGCTCCAGAAGGCGGCCTTGACGGCCTTGGCGTGGCGCGCCAGCGACGAGGATACTCAGCACTTGCGGCAGATCTTCGAGTGTTTGGACCAGGACCAGGGTGGGTGCCTTGCTGCTAGCAGTTTTCTGATTTGCTTCGATCGATGTCGGAACGTCTTACTATACTCGTAGGAACAATGCCCGCTACGTTACGTTAGGGGCTCCTGGCTATGAACGGAGTGATCGGCCGCGAACCGAACGGGGCCAGGATGGCCTGGCCTTACTACTAGTAACAGGAAGCTACGAACGGAGCCATTTGCCAATACCGGAAAGGACTCCAATGGCCATGTCACGATGACTGAGCTTCGGGGCGCCTTTGCAGAGGCCAGGTTCCTGTGGCCGAGCGGCAGCAGGGCAGCGCGCTGAAGCGCACCAAGCGGACTTCGTGGACAAGGGCATCAACTTCAACGTTCTCTGCTGGTTAGTAGATGCTAGCTGCTAGTAGCTTCGATATCATCATGATTTCATCTCAGTGTCCGTAGATGCAAGCCATTTCATGGGAAGAATCATGGGTCCCAAGTCGTTCAGAACCATATCTCCAAGCTCAAGATGGTTCAGGATGATTTGGATCACGCATAGGTTGACCAAAGAATTTGAGGAGGAGCTCATGGTGTCAGGCCTCCAGATTCCCACTAAGACCAATCCCATCATTTGCCTAGCTCCGTTGACTCCGCCAGGTGGGTGTGGAGCTGCCTGGTGATCTCAGCATTTGTGGCGTGGGCACCGATGGGAACGACACCATCGAATACACCGAGTTTTTGGCGGCGGCCTTGGACAAGAGCAAGGTCCTTAAGGAGGAGAGACGTCTTTTTTTGTTTGGGGGGGTGCCTCAGAACCATTCCAGAACCATGCGCTGCATGACCATGCATGACCATGCTTCCACGGCGGTAGTAGAGACAGACTTAACCTGTGCCAGTGTTGGAAGTGGATAGATATTGTCACCACCAACCCCACCTCCACGTTTTGTTGGATGGAAGGTTATTTGATGGTATTTGTTGACGCCATGCGTCGTCATGAACAGGAAGCCATCAGTCGCCCTCCCGGTCCAACAATGCCTCCATGAGTCGCCAGCATGGGGATCCACCATGCTTCGATCTTCGGAAAAACGGGTCATGTCCTTCGACCGTCCACCCGTCCGTTCCACCAGTGCAATGAGTCTGAACCACACGGCGCAGTCGGCTCGGCTGCGCGTCAGGACATCGTATGGCAGGCCTTCAAGATCTTCGACTCCGATGGCAGCGGCACGGTGACCAAGGCGGAACTCTTAAAGCTGCTGACCACCGGGCGGAGTGACAAGGCCAAGCACGAGAAGGAGTCTAAGACTATTGAGGCTACCGCATCCACTGACTTGGAGGGAGGGGTGGAGAGGAAGTGCGGTCATCTTGTCAGATGATGATGTCTTGAAGAGTTGAGTGCATCAATGTGCCCGAAAGTGTGCCCGAACTAGCAGGGAGAAAAGACCACAACCCTGAATCCAGAAATATTTTTGGCCGAGGGAGGGGTGGTGTTCTCTCCCAGGTCCAGAAGCTACAGAAGTTTGAAGACTAATGATTAGGGCCAGGGTAAAATATGGAGAGAGAGCGAAGGTAAAATATGGTCAAGTTCTGGTAATGTGTCCAGTTGAGTCTTTGGCTTCTTGAGTCAACATGGTTCCTGGGATTGGTGCAGAAGTGCTGCCGCAATGTTTGATGTTCGGCCAAGGGCCAACTCTCGTGAAACTAGGATCGGCTCACCGGTGGCAGCCTTGATAGGAAACACCAAGGTGGCTGGCTTGCATTGATGAAACACCTCTGAGCCACCTCTTTTGGCCACCCCTCCGACCATCTCTGACCCACGCCGCGAGGCATTTTTAGACAGTTATGACACCTCGGGCGATGGCGTTGCCGCTCGGCCCGCGGTGGGGCCGCCGCCTCGCGGCGCGCCCGCGCGGACGTCTCGAGCGGGTCGTTGATGGGTCCATTTGGATCGCGGTCCCTCCGACACCGTCAGATGAGTGTCACTGGATCGCTGGGGAGGTCCTTCTGTCAAGTATTTAAGACCATGACTCACGTACTCCGTTGGCACTACCCACGCCAATTGCAGCTCCTGAACTGAAGATTCGATTTTTGTTGATCCTTCAAGACACCTTTTTTGGTTGGAAACATGTCATATCATATCTCAAGATGGGTTGACAGTCTGTATAGCAGCGCTCGCTTGCTCCGCTTGCTCCGCTGGCTCTTAGCGCTTATTGAGGTCTGGTAGGGGCCCTTGGTGCACACGTAAAAGATCTTAAAAGTGTGCAAGAAAACCAAGGCTACCTTAACTATTAGCCGGGAGAGTGCAAATATTGGCGGAGCTGGACACGTGGGGCGGGCACCCCAAACAACATGCAAAACTGCAACACGCAAGCTGGCAGCTCAGCCAAGGTCGACTTCAGCGAATTTTTACATATGCTGGATGAAAGCCAGGACCCGCACAGGCACAGGCCGGTGGTGGCAAAGATTGAGAGCCCAGCAAAGGTTCCAGAAATGAATTCATATCTTGACCTTTGCGCCAGTATCACTAGTGCACCCTGTGAAAAAGAGCAGGTGGCACACCCTGTACCATCTAGACAGACCTCCAAGCGCTTATCCAAAGCGTCTCATCAAAAATGGCCAGCAGGTTGTTGTTCAGAAGCATCGATATGGCACAACAATCAGGAGGGTGTGAGTGCTTCTTGCATGGATGCTCTTAATTGAACTTGCAATCAACTTTTCATCACTTTTCGAACTCCGCCTGACCGCTTGGTGCCGCAGCTAGATGTTTCCACCTCAAGTGTGGGTGATGCCGGGGTCATGCTGCCGACCGGCCCGGGAATGCCCGGGGGGCTCGGGCAGATGCCGGGGCAGATGCCCGGGCAGATGCCCCCGCCAATGCTCCCACCCATGGCTGGGCAGATGCCCGGACAGATGGGACAGATGGGACAGATGGGACAGATGCCTCCCAGGGCTCCCATGCAGTTTCCGATGGGCTTCGGGCAAGTGCCGATGGGACACATGGTCCCACAGCTAGGAGCTCTACCTCAACGTCCGATGACTGGGATGGTAGGAGCACCAATGTCAATGCCTCTGGGGCCAACAGGGCCAACGGGGCCCATGCCAGGCCTCACGATGACAGGCCCTGGCACCGCACCGCCGCTGCCCACCGGTCCTCCACAAGCGTTAGACACTGCTCCAACCACTGGAGGACCACCTCCAGCACCGACTGCGCCTCCAGCGCCAGCCAGTGCGCCCGAAGGGGCTGCGACGGCGGCGGCGCAGTCCGCACAGCAGATGCAGTACATGCAGCAGTATCAGTTTTACCAACAGCTCCAGAAACAGGAGCAGGCGCCGGCACCACCTCAAGTAGCCCCGCAGGCAGCCACGCAAGCACCACCGCCACCACCTGAAGCAGCGGCCGCAGGGAACTCCCCAGCCACAGATCCCACAGTTGCAGCTGTTGCAGTGGCCTTAGGCTTGGATCCTGCAGTCCTAGGTGGTGTAGTAGAAGCTTTAGGTGCAGCAGCTCAAAATCAACCAGCCGCAGCAGCAGATACTGCAGCTCCAGCTGCTACAGGAGGACCACCTCCACCACCGACAGCGCCTCCAGCCCAAGCCGATGCCCCTGAAGGGGACGGGGCTGCGGCGGTGGCCGCGGCTGCGCAGTCGGCACAGCAGATGCAGTACATGCAACAGTATCAGTTTTACCAACAGCTCCAGAAACAGGAGCAGGAAAAGAGAGCGAAAACACAATCAGCGCAGCCGTTACGCTTCAAAGAAGGCTTTCGCCCCATGCGATTGTGCAAACCCTTGCTGACGGTGGGCTTTTGCCGACAGGGCCAGGATTGCACCTTTGCGCATACCTACGAGGAGCTCCACCCCGCCTCCCCTGATGTGCCGGACAACTTGGTGAATGAGGACGGTGCGGCAGCTGAACAGGGAGACATTCCTGAGAACCAAATACCCGACATGAGACTCAAGAAGAAGAAGGAGATGTGTGGACGCTTTTCACGAGGTGAATGTTCCTGAGCTTTGCTTTCAAGTCAGTTTTGGGGAGCCAAGTGATCCTTCAAAGCGGGTGCTCGTTGATCCAACTTCGGAGGGCTCCCAGGAGGGTGAGGGAACGGCTTCTCCCCCCGCTGCTTGCACCGCACTGAGGCTCGCTGGGGAAGATTTGCCCCTTTGCGCATACCGAGAGTGACTTGGTTTTCCGCACATCCGACGAATAACTCTCGAAAGGATGAAACGACGGATAAGACACACGACCTGCAGTTGCCGTTGTGTGGCTTTTGAGGAGGCAAGTGCCGTTTTCATTGATGAACAGACATATATCGTCGTTGATTCTTCTCCGTGCGGAGTCGCAGAGTCATGACATGAGCCCCAAAGCATGGAACCATATCGGAACTTCACCATCCCAGGCCGTGATATGACACGATGTGATGTTCAGGTCGGGCTACCATGGGGTTACCCTGTCATCTCCCCGAAGTGGACGTGCCGTTCCGCACACCCCGTCCGCCGGTGTGTCCCAGGCGAGTTGGGAACCATTGGCCTCTCGGTCTGTGGCAAAGTGAAGACCAGGCTTTGTGTCTTCTGGGATCCTGTGACCAAAACGGCGAAGGGATGCATTTATGGCCGCTGGGCTGAGAAGGCTGAGACCAGATACGTGTTTGTGTGGGTGTTTATTTTTTCCCGGTCTTGAAGTAGCTTTTGTTTGGTTCAGTGGAAAACCCTCGTTTGGATGCACCGGATTGATGCCATTAGAGGAACATATATATGGTTCTTAAGGGGCCTTCTTTCACTTGAACGCTTGTTGAATGGAGCTTTTCCCGTTAGATTACTGTATCTAATTGCCATTTTCTTTGTAGTCCTGTTGCAGCACCTGTTGCAGCTGAAGTCTTCAACCTCTGGTCTCACGGTCACAGACTCGTCGGACTCGTCGGACTCGCAGTGGTGTGTCGTGGAGAAGGAACGGTTTCCCCATGTCTCCACCGTTCTCCCACTTCAGGTCGCCGGTCGCCCACGCACTGTCACGTCATTGTCATGTTCTTTTTCCAAACCCACACCTAGGACCTACGCGGTACCTATGTCCAAACCCGCCCCACACCAAGCGTCGTGTTGAAACGTGACCGGAAAAGTCGGGTCTTCTGATGGTCCGTGATGGTCCGCCCCAAAAGCCCGTCGGCCGGCAGTTCCGTGGTCATAAAACCCCGGGAAGTCCAGTGATGACTCATTGAATACCCCTTTACCCAGGCACTCCATCACTCCATGATGTTATTATGGAATTAACTATATATTATGGAATATGAATATCTATGCCTACTTCTTGTCTCCTGGGGTCCAATGTAGGCATCTGTGGCAGTCTTTCCTTTAAGGTTTGGGTTCTGAAGTTTCTGCTCCGTGATTTCGAACTCCCCAATTTCAGGTGGTTGACAGTCCGCTCGCACCGCCTCACGCCTCACGCCTCACCGCGGTCTCGGGACACAGGAAAGAATTGCAACAATGCCCACGGCGAGCGGGAGATCGGCACCAAGCGCCCGCCCCCGGAGCTGTGCCCGCCCATGAAGCGGCGGCGGGATGGCGAATCGGTGATCCGGGGCCGCGACTAGGGTGAAAACAGGACAAGACAGGGGTGTGCGGATGTGCGTGGGGAGGGAAACTCTGGATGCTGAGCTTCATCCTGAAAACTCATCAAAGGAGGGCGTTGACCTTTTTGGATCATTGAGGACTTGGTAGGTGGTGAGCTTCCGAAAGGTGATTGTGGCCTGTATGGATGATGATTGAGATGGATTTTTGATGATTTTTGTCTTCACATTTTTTCGGGGTGGTATTGGGCCTCCAAAAGGACACTTGGATTTGTCAAGATGAGAAGGACCTTAGCTGGGGTCACCTTTTGCCAGAGTCACATCAGTTGGAACATGCTTGTACTGCAGTGGTCCGGCAGAACCCATGAAAACTGAAAGCATTTGATGCGCGCTTCGTGGAGTTTTCAGCTGGCTTGAAGGGCGTGATTCACACACGAACAGATGGATATAGAGTTTCGCTGTGCCCAGCCGGACCCGAAGTGATAGCCAGCTCGGAGGGAAGCATGCTTGCTACAGCCCCCGCTGTGATCCAAGCCACACCGGTGGTGGATATCTGGAGGTCAAGTGGTCACAGCATCGACACCCATCCACACAGATAAAGCTCGAAAGCTGGGTGAAAAAGCATTGACCAGCGGAGGAGCTCACTTTTGGACCTTCCTAGATCCCACAGGTGACGCATCGACCAGCTCAGCATGTGGCCTTTCAAGATGCAATGGCCGCTGCGGCTGCGTGCTTGAGAGCTCCAGCGCCAGCGCGGCTTGTGCCGGTCAGACCGAGCCAGTTGGTGTTCGAGCGAGTGTGTGGATGTGAGGCGTTTTGCTGTGAAACGCTACGGGTGATTCGATTTTTGTGACATCTCTTACAGGTGGGATTTGCTGATACAGTACATGCAGGTTACAGGTGGGGATCTCTTGCCGAAATTGGCCGATAGATGCTGATAGGCCTCCCAGGGCACCCATGATGTGTCGGATTGAATTGGGACCGATGCACCGAGGTGATGGTGAGCCGATTTGAGGAGGTGGGGAGATAGGCAGTGGGAGAGCTTGTGTAGATCCCTAGCATTTGTGCGAACATCTATATACATTTTTCATAATCTTTCGATGGCGCAGTAGCTTGATCCAGTAGCTTGATCCACAGATGTCAAACCAAACATCTTTTTCTCCAGATGACTTACCCCCACTGCAGGAGCTTCGCTTTGGCCTCCATGCCTTCGCCCAGAGGCACACCACCGGCACCTGCCGGACCCAGCCCCGCCGTTCCGGCGAGACGCTCCAGGTCGCCCCAGGGCGGCGTGGCCGCCAAGGCGCCGACCAAGGCGGCCAAGGCCGTCCGAGCGGAGGTCGTGGTCCTCGTCGTGGGTCAGATGAATCAGATGAACATTGGACAAGATATGGACAAGGTAGATCAAGCTAGGCAATCGGTGTTGGTTCTGTAACTTTCGACATCCCTGTGGGATGGCCGGTTTTCAGGTCCTGCTTCGAGAGATGATACTGACTGACATACTGTTTTTGTTGGGCATCCATGTGCGTGAAGCGGATGTGCTTTGTTGGATAACTCGTCGCATGTCGTCGCTTTACTGGTTCAGCTGGCAGGATCCTCCGGACACGATGCGCACAACTGGCTTGTTGCGGTGATTGAGCCAACGAAAGACTCGGATTCGGATTGTAAGATGTAGTTGATGTACTGTAGCTAGGTGATGGTTTGTTTATTTTCAACCCTTAGTTGGGGATGATTGGACCCTCTGACTCGTATTTGTCATGTGGGTTGAAAACACCAACCAGGTAGTTGTTGAGAGGGGTTTGGTTGATCATCCTGTCATTTCAGTGGAAGAATTGTCTATCCACTCCTTTCTTTTCGGGTGCCTGAGCATCACCCCAGTGATGTCACAGGCGTCTTGTGCCTGCACGGCTACTTGCAGAACGGCCGGCCGTCCTGGGAGATGTGTTCTGACTCCTTAGAGAATTCCATTTATAGACTTTTGAACTGGTCATGGTTCCAGAATGTCAGTGAGACTGGAAGAATGTTCAGACATGTTCAGACTTCCAGTAGTTCATGATTCCATGTCTTCCAGCATGTCGCTCCCATTTTTGCAGATCTTGCCCCAACATGTTTTGTTGGAAGATGCTGGATGTATGTCAGACTTCGACCGTTGGTTCGCTCAAGGGCGCTCCAGGTGATGTCTTTAAGCAGAAGACGGGCTCCCTCCGTCGTGTGCTGAAGGGATGCGAGTGCGCCAGGGTGTGGGGTCCGGCCGGGTTCGGCGGTCGAGAAAGCAGAGACTCCTTCATTTGGGCCCAGGCAGGAGCTGAAAACGGCCCGTTTCAGTCTGGGAACCTTGAAGTAACAGGCCTTAACAGGCAGCTGGTAGGCGTTTGATGATGCAATGCATTCTTTGGCTTGATGTATTCTGACCGGGGTCGGCTTTTCCAGATGGGCCACCAAATGACACAACGTCGCACATCGTTTGCACAACCCACACCAAGTCGCAGAGAACAGGCAGAACCGGACTTCAGAATCTTCAGAGTTCAACCCCCCAACATGTGTCCCCCAGCTTTCAGGTCGTCTTTGTTTGATTTTCGTTGGACGCCTGGGCCAGGTTCACCTTCCTGGATGCCCCACACGAGGCGGAGCCCTTCCCGGATGCCACCGGGGAGGATGCCGAAGCCAGTGCCAGTGCCGAAGGAGGTGGGAAAGAACGTTGAGAATTTGTGAGGAGAAGATGAACAAGAATGTGGAGATTAATCATACATCTTCTCTGGGCGCGCCTTTTTTCTGGCAGAGTCTCTACCAACACCATTCAAGAAGGAGGAAACATGCCTAACGAAGAGATGTGCTCCACAAAGAGATGTTGCCTTGAACCCAACCATGTCCCGAGCATTCTGTTGTAACATGACTCTTTTGTGAGAACAGGTAGGCTCATCAGAGGTGGGTTCATCAAACCAGGCCAAACCAGGCAACAAATCAAAACATATAAAAACACATTAAAACAGATTAAAAGAATTGTCTACAAAAGTTCTGTACAAACTTTCAGAATCCAAAGTTCAGAAACCAGGAGAGATTGCTGATTCCATTCTAAAAAAACTGGACAGCATACTGTGTCAGTTACCACCCAAGACCAAGTACAGCAGAACCTCATGATGGGAGGTGAAAAAAGAGTGTCAAAGAGATGACTGAGTGCAGCAGCTGTGATAATTTTTTGTAAGTTTTCCTAATGTGGAAAAAATATTTTAATGTTTAATAATTTGTTTTAATATTTTCTAATGATTAGCAATGTTTCTCTATGTTTCAATATTATTTGCTATGAAATCAAATGGTTTCAGCACTGTTGATGAGCTACCCTATGATCAGCCACCCTAGTGGGATGAATGAATGACACATGTCACATGTACCTGGATCTTCCAACTACGCAACATTTACCGTATGCCAACCTCGGCTGGTTTTTGAAATGTACTGTAAAGGCAGAACATTTTGCACAGGTGGAAGATCCAAGTATGGCAGCGGGTCATGGCACAGGGGGATTTCTCCATCGAACATGAACAGAATCGATGGCAAACGAAGCGGGCTTGACCCACTGCCATATGTGATCTGGAACTCTTCCTCACTTTGAAGGTGAAGCAACTGACCCGTCTCAGCTATCTTGAAAATGACCCCGCACGGAGCTCAGCTCCAACTCCGGAGGTGTGCTTCGCGGTTGGTGGAGCTCTGGAGAGAACCAGTGCAGAAAGGATGGCCAGGTGCGGTAGTGAATGTTCTGGCAGCTTTCGACTGAGCACTTGGATATGCGGTCACCACCCAAAAGATCCCAAAAGAACATATCAGCCACACCACTCACCGTCAGTTCCATTTTTGTCTCGGCTGTGATGCCTCGTCATTATAATTCACTACATTTGGAAGGGGCGCTTTTCGGCCACCGTGCGTATGTTGAATTCATGATCTTAGGTTTTTGTTGATGAGTTGTCCAAGGGCACGATGGTCCTACGCCCAGAAACTGTGGCACTTCAGACCTGACGTATGGTAACAAGGTTCGCTACTAGGAACAAGTGCATCGCTTCTAGTAACAAGTGCCTTACTACTAGTAACAAGAAACTACTAGGAACAAGTGATGCCTTTGGTTGATTTTGCCAGGAGTGGGTTCGCCCCGCCCAGTAGGTGCCTCAGATGATGCAACCAATGCCTGGGCTTCTTGAACCAGAGAAGCGGCACCAGGAGATTGTGTTTGGTGTCCTCGTTTTGTCCACAATGCCAATCGGGTTGGGAGTTCCGTTATTGCTCGCGTGTGTTTTTTGTTCCTGTATTGACACCTCGCGCCCCGCGTCCTAGGTCATTTTCATACTTTGGATTTGAGGAAGGCCTTGGCTTTCGTTAAAATTGACTTGAACGCAGTGGCAGTTCTCACATCTCTTCACTTTACACTGTTGGCATTCTGGCGGTCTTCACCGGGCAGTTTCCGCTGTGCCGCGGTGACCCGCGCCAGGTGTCACGTATGCCCGAGCGGCTGCCGCTGAGGCCCTGGGGTCACAGGGCAGCTTCGATGGCGCTTGGGCACCAAGCAGAGACTGGTAGCAGAGGAATTGCAAGGATCGTGGGATGGAGGGTGCTGACGGAATCGATCTTAATGTCTTAATGAGTCTTCATGTCGGAGATGAACTTGGTTTGGGTCGTGACCTCCATGTGGAGGTATGGCATTGTTTGTTAGGAGGGGGACGCAGTTGAGCACCTGCTGGTGCATGATACTACCGAGGGAGCTGTTTCGCATTGCAAGTGTTGAGCTGGTTAAGGTCCTTGCCTTCTCACAAGGCTGTGCAGCCAGGAGCTTAAAGGAAAAGTCTCAGATGCTGTGGGCAGGAGATTGCACATCTGGAGGTCCATATAGAGGCATGAGCAATAGGCAACGAGTAGAGTCCCTCTCCTGATGTAGTAATCGCAGCTAGCGGAAGCCATTTTGGAGAATGAACGCTCAGGTCCTCGCTTGCACTGGACAGCAGGGTTTCCCCTAGTTGTCGCAGAACCACACCCTGTCAGAACAAAGTGGCATGTTTGGTGCCGTAAGGGGTGCCAATGCTTGGATGGGGAGCCTGTTTGCAGGTGACCACCGCCTTGCTACGGGAGGCTCAAAGCATGGAAGGCGTGATAATTTGTGGAGAGGAAGATGGCGGGTTTGGGGTTTTCTTCTCGCATCGCCAAGACGAGTCATCGCCAAATGTAATCAACTTTCCTAGATGGTGGCATCGAATGGTGTGGAAGTAATGTGAGAGAAGAGTGAATACATGTGAAGTCCTGTTGTGTCAACACAGCGTTTCCCCCTTTCTGTTTTGAAGAAGGCGCGTGTCTTCGGGCTTTCAACACCGGACGTGATACCGTGAACATCCCGCGTTCTCGGGCGTCCTGTCGCGTGTCCGAACGGGCTGTCGCGATGGATGGTCCTGACGCCCCAAAAGGCCATCCATTGGCCTCGGTGCGCTTCGTGATCCTCGTGGGGGGCTTTGTGCCCAAGGACCCGGCCGTGGTGGGGAAGCCTGGTTCGGGTGGCTGGTGGGGAGGAAATCAGTCTAGGGATGCGGAGGTGTCAAGGAGGAAACCGGGTCAGTAGTATACTCACTCTTTGAAAGCAGGTTTGCCATCCCCAAAGTCATCCCGAAATCCGAGCAAAAAGACGAGGAACTGGCACAGGAAGACTCAAGAAGTCGTTGTGCGCTCTTTCTGTAGTTCTCCAGCTCTGTGATTTTATGTGCTGCGGGGAACAACACATGCCCAGGCGGCCAAGCTGCGGGGCGATGGTGACACGAGGTGGAATGATGGGAGTCAGAGCGGAGGGATTGCAGCGGACTCGCGCAAGTCTGACAACAAGTCTTCATTCCCTGAGAGCGCCAGTTGTAAGCTAGACCGTAGACCTTAGTCGATGTACAGCTAGTCCAGGAAATGCTAGGTTGTCGCAGCGAGTTGCATCCCTGATTTCCCACCCTTCGAGAATATAATACTACATAATATTACATTATATCACACACATATATATATAATATATAAATATATCTGACCTCTTTGTTAATGCATATATATATATATTTATATTTATATATAAATATAGAGTTTGACCTCGGTTGACTTGGACTAATCGTCTCGGGGCGCTTGGGCCGTCATCCCACCCCTCACCTCTCAGCACCTCAGCTGCGCGCAGGTTGAGCCTTCAGTCGTTGCATGTCTCAGGCCAGGTCAAAGTGAAACACTGAATTCCATGAACTGACCTTTGACTTGAAGCCAACTTGAAATGAATTAGCAAGGTCAAGGTTGACCCTTGCCCAAGGTTGATGCGTTTGAATGCTTGAACGCTGAATTACATGAACCACAACTTGTGGAAGCACTTGACTTGAAATGTACCTTGCTCTTGCTCAAAAGCTACGAGCGAAACTGCAAGAATTGTGGAACACCGGAGAGTCCTGCAGCAGAATGGGGACCAGAGATGACATACAGAGAGGGAAGATCGCTTGGAACAAGCTGGGAACGGACCCCAAAGCCGTTGACACCGTGGGAACGGGCTCCGCGTGACCGACCGAGACCGTCAGGCGTGAACGACGTGTCGGTGCCGCGGCTCCGGAGCGAGGCCTTGGCGGAGCTGTGCGGGGCCCAAAGGCGGCCCCTGGGATGCCCGGGCGTGGTGGGGAAAAGGGAAGATAGACAGATAGATAGACATACTGTACATGCATACATACCATAAATGCATACAATACATATAGATCAATTCAATGGATTCTTGTTACACATCCAAGTTCAAGTAGTCATTGCTTTGTGATGTAACAGTGATGTATTGGGTTTGTTAATGTTTTCGTGTTTCCATTTTTCTGCCTGTAATATACATCCAAAGCGGCCTGGACCAGGTGGACATTTGAAGGCTTGAGAAGCGAGAGAGAGAGAGAGCTTCTTATTAAGGTGGGTGGGCGCGGTGCTTGAAACTCGATGGAGCTTGAGAAGCGATTGAGAAGCGACGGCATTGACGGTCCAGTTCCCGAGCAGCGACCAGCAAGTGCATCGAACTTCCCAGCAAGTGCCATGTCGCCGTGGCCCAACGGGGTTCCCGGAGTCGAACTCGGACGACCCGCCGCCATCCGCGGGTGGAGCGCCCCGAGGTACGAGCCCTCGCAGGTGGCCTGGTTCGATCATCCGGGCCGCCACGGGCTGCCGAACGGCACCGGCGCCTTCAAGCAGGAGTTGCAGGAGTTCTGGGGGGGGGGGGCCAAGGGGGGGCAAGGGCATAGAGTAAGTTGGCGGAGGTGTCCACTGAGATGGAGTTTTTGATGGCGTGGGAACAAGATGCAAGAACAATTGGCATGGGCCATGGGTATAGTTTTTGGGGCCTAGATTGGTAGGAAGTACCTGCACGAGGCAGCAAGGGAGTACAAATTGTTGTTTTTTGGGGCCAAGTTGTGGAAGTCGTGCTCTGGCTGAAGATCGACCCCGCCACTTTGCTCAATGCCAGACGTTTCACCTGACGAGCCTGGTTTTTGTCATTCAGACTGAGGTGAGATCGGTCAGTCGAGGAGCACACAGCTGAACCTCAGCACAAGCTTGACTTGAAGTCCGGCCACAGCCAATTCCGTAGACAGATGTACATCGAAATCAAACATCGATTTGGTATGGATGGATGCTTTGCGCAACCCCCAATCTGCGAGAACATCTCATTCTGAGGCCCCCCAGCAGGGGCGAGTCGAGGATGTTTGTCGAGCCACGAAGTCCACCCTATCCGCCACGGTCCAATCCATCCTCACCCCACTGGCACCTGGGACTGCGACTGCCATGGCGAACATCCCACACAGCGCAGTGGCGGAGGCTGCGGACCAGGTGCGAATCAGCTTCCAAGAACCGCGGAGATGCATAGCATGAGCAGGGCATGGAGGACATAAATTTGTGCTGCTAGATAACTGGGCTCCAAGGTATTGCTGGGCGTAGAAGTGACGCAGATGTCACAGATGCTTTAAGAGCCACCTGCACAAGTGATGGAGATGGCCAGCCGGGGAGTATTTCCTATAATGTCCCCCAATTTCAACTGGCTTGCAGCAGTTTGGGTTCTCTTTGGGCTCTCGTGTCGCGCTTGCACGGCCAGGTTGAGGCTGAGCAAGGTCAAGTGATCTTGGAAGAAAAGAACAAAAAGCGCCCCTCGGCTTGCAGATTCTCGTCGTCGTCAGTTGCCATGCATTGTACCGCATACGGATAACACAATAACACAGAATGATCCACTTGGGGTCTGGAAGATTGCTGCTGTTGCAGGACCTGCACTGGTTTTCACCTTTCCAGAATCATTTGCGAATCGAAGACTGTGGCTAACCTGCCCTTAACTTGATGAGCGAGCCGTGCCACTTGAGGAGTTCGGTATTGGTGGGAAGAAGGCTACGTGCCTGGGAATGAAAAGGACCGCCTCGCCAAAGAGCCTGCTATAGCCTGCTGGAGCGTGGGGTCCATGCTGGGTAAATATGCATAAATACTATGGCTATTAGATTCTTGTGAACCAAATATGGGTCTGACAAATTACATGTTCTTCCATATTCTTCCCCTCGTCAGGTCCTGTAGACGTCCACTTCCTTTCGGAAAACGGGGAGCCAGGCCGCAGGAGGCTCAGGGCCTCCGAATCCTCTCGGCGAGGACTCGGATGACGAGGGCTGCGCCAGTGGTAGCGAGACGAAGGACACGGAGTGTGAGAAACAGCCCGGGCGGCCCAGAGCAGCACGCAGATCATCGTGATAATTTGATGGTGAGAGTCGTGATGGCAGTGGTAGAGCACCTCATTTGCCAGGGCCTTCCATGTGTTGGAAGAGGAATGGGGCACAGTGCGAAGTACTCAAGCTAAGCTACTTGGTTCTTCTCAGGCCAGACGTGAACGCATTACCCGTAGAGGGTGAGGACAGCGACTACGAGGCGCTGCCCTTCATGAGGGCTGCGGTGGAGCTCATTTGTTTTGAAGACTTGGCACGGTCATCCGCCGACTTCCATCACCAAAACGCACAAATCGGCAACAACTTGCGCGACATGTGCTGCCGGCAGTTTCATGCCACTGGTCCGCGAAGGCCGCATATCCGATGTATCCACCTGTGGTGAGGCAGATTAGAGCCCCAGACGGTTGAGGTGCTTCAAGTCCCCACCAGCTCCAGCCCGCCACTCCCCCAACCGCCACTCCAGCCCGCCAGGCGGTGGTCGAGGGCCTGGGCTCCGGTCGCGACGCGACCGGGCGCTTCGTGCGTTGGGGAGGGCTCCATGGGCGGCGATGCCTGGCGGACGGGGACTTGGCCTTGGAGGAGCGGTCACGGCTCCGAGCGCGCCGGGACCGAGGTTTCGGTGGGTTGGATTACCACAGGGGGGAATGGGGTGGTGGTTGAGAGTTGCAATGGTTGGGTGGATATGTTCTATAAGGGTGATCAGTGGTCAGTGATCACACTCCCCTCCGGTACGGCTTCCATGTTGGTACTGGAGGATGATCGTTCAGGACTTCCTTTCAACCCGCGAAGACAGACCAGCCGGTCTAGGACGGCGACGATGGCTCCTGGGCACCGCGGCCGGTGGCGCCGGTGGACGAGTATTTGGATGAGTTGCTCATCCCCTCAGACGTCCCAGAGGCGGAGGAGAGAGATGCCACTTTTGTGGGCTTTTGATTTTAAAAAACGCCAGGTCATCAACAATTGGAGTGTTTCTTTTTGGCCGTGCCGTATGTGTGCCTGTAAAGGCTCAAAGGGGGAACCTACATGAATCCCCAGCTGAATTACATAGATTTGGCGGTTTTCGCTGGCTATTGGACTGTTGGGTTGATGATGAACACCATGAAAACACATCACCCCAGACCGACAGCCAGGACACCGGAGCCACACTGCAGGCGCTGGAAGATTTACCCCCCTCAGCGGCCGAGACCATGGCTATCGTTTTGTACCAGACGCTCCGGCAGGAGGTTGGCGGAGCGGAGGAGGTTGGGCGTCGAGCGGAGGCGTGGCGAAGCCCAAAAAGCCACCTCCGCTCGTAGACATGTCCCACTACGGGGTTCGACGTGGATCTTTGGTCGAAGGGCTAGCGGCTAGTCGGACGGAGGGCCGTTCCCCTGTGTGGCACCTTTGACCTGGACAATAGGCTTGAGGATGCTTTGGAACTCTAGACTTCTTGGACACACCTGAGGCCGGTCTTTTTGGAAAGCAGGGGGGTTTGTTTATAGGCACGCCTTCGCACCAAGCATCACGTCCTTGGACTCGAAGGGCCGAGACGTAACCTGACGCGTGATGGATTCTTCACTGCACCGAGGACGCCATCCTCGCAAGTGAAGCCGTTCGGAGCCTTACGGACGTCCATGTGTTGCCCATGGTGTCTCGCACGCGGCCACCTGCAGCCAGAAGGGATGAACTGAAATGACCAATTCCCATGAGTTGCAACTTGACCCCTATCATGGAGCTGGGATGGGCCTCTCTGGGATGCATCGGGAAACTTGAGGGATGCGAACACCGCAACACATCTCAACCGGCTTAGGTGGAGTTTCTGCACCATCACCGACAACATGCGGCTTGACTCATGACGACGCGTTTTCGTCGTCATTCTCCCTGTGCAGCTTCCTGCAGTGGTGGTGGGTTGGCAGTTCTTTTTTACCGAGATGGTCCCGTAATCTCTTTAGGAGGTGTCCACCGGCATTGAAGAGAAACCCCACGTTCATGACGTTCATGGACCTCCTCGCATGGGGCCTTTGGACATCGGACACCATGTGGTAGTTTGTCGAAGGAGGAGGTGTGCAGTTGCAGTGGCTCCTAAGGGAAGTTACTTGATCGATGAAATAGGTCGTTGCAGGTGACTGACTGCTCTACTAATATCATCCAATATCTGCAAGCATCTTAATCACTTAAAATCTATTCACCTGTCTGGGTTCATGCAAGTTCGGTAGTAAGTTCGGTGCATGGCCATCGGGGGACTTTCACGACCTCAGACAGGGCCAATGAGAGGGGCAAACACATGGCTTCGCAAATGATCTGCCCCAAGGAGGGCGCCTTTCGGGCGGCCCAATGCCCCAGGGCAACCCATGGATGGTGCCTTTCCCGTTGATCCCCCCGGCGGCACGTGGGAGCGGCACAGTTGGCCGAGGTCAGCTCAGGTGGATCAATCGGAGGACCGGACGACTGGGGCTTTTCTGGGCTGAGGGACCAGTGGTGGCGATCCCGGCCCTAATAGGCCATATTGGTTGACCCTGTTGACCGTATTGAGCTCACGATGTTTGCTAAGTTAGAGGCGGGGCATTTGGGATTCAATCTCTTAGTTTCTACTGCTTCAGTTCCAAGCAGTTCTCCTAGTTCTTTGAACAGAGAAATCCAAGCAGAAGCTGTGCCTAGCAGTTTCATTGCTCCAGGTCCGGCAGGTCTTTGCGATTGAGGATGCCAAGCGGAACCATCACCTCTACAACGAGGAGATGCAGGCGACTCTTGTGATGGCAGGGCAGACTGCCGTACATTTAGAGCTACTAGTTCTGCAGCTTTTGGATGGGTCTGATCTTTTTCAGCTTCTGGAGGGCCCCGGCGCATGACTCATTGCGTGGCTCAAGGTTTCGACCGTGTCAGTCTCAGTGTTTTCCAGATTCTCCGGCTTCCGAAATCACGGGGAGGGGGCCGCCTTGGACACCGCCAGGTTCTGTCACAAATGGCCATCGGCACCTTGGTTTGAAAACGAGGTCTCAAGGCTCTATCAGCGCAGAGGGGTGAGATGGACAGTCAAGTTACCCCTCATGACCGTTCACCAATCAGATGGGCAGTATGTGATTTCCCAGCTGAGTTTGAACTTCAATCTGCAGGGAACTTCCAGCGCCCGAACCCGAGTCGACTCGGGTTTGAAGATGTTTGAATTGGTCGAAGCCGGGTTTGACTCCCGCTGTGGTGCCGGTAGAGCACGCCTCGGGGAAGTTTGAACGTTTTCTTGGCTTTGGGCACATCAGTAAAGCTCACTTGGACTTAAGCTTGCAAGATCAAGCACTTGTTAGGACACGAGTGGTATTGAGTTGTGCTTTTTAAATCCCGTCCTTTGCTCGGGAGGGGCGAGAATACTAGTTGGTGGCAAGAATGCGAGGGACACTAACTCAACCGGCTCCTTGCAGGGTTGAGAACAAAAAAGTTGACCTCATCCTTCGAGGCAACTACTTCCTTCGTCAGCAGCAGGGGTTCGAGGTGGTCCAAAAGGCCAAGGAGGATGAGAAGCTTCGGCGGAGGAGCGCCAGCACATGTGCATTGCGCGCATGTGGGGAAACAGGAGGAGAAGTGCGAGAGCTTCATAGATTGATTCGGAGGACATGAGAAGACTGATGCAACGTCAGCAGTTGTCATGCGCTTCTCAAAGAGAAGCACCTGACCGTTGTCAATTGTTGCCACTAATTTTCATCGGTTCTCATCTATGCTGACTAAACTGCTTCAGCTTCAATCCAGCCTCTCCCTGGCGACATCTCCCTCTCCTCTCGCTCTCCTCACATGCCAGGCAGGTGAAGGAAGGCTCCAAGGAGCGGCTTCCGGGGACCAAGTGAGGGAGCCCTGAGGGTGGAAGCATTTCTTGACCGGGTGGATTTGTGGGAGTTGAGCCGTTGGAGGCTCAAGCCTAACTGGGCGCAGAATTTCTTGGGAGGTTTGGGCATTTCATGGGATTTCTCTTGGGGGATTTTTTTGGGTTGGAGCAGTTGGTGTTGTTTGTTTGTTGAACCAGAAAGTGGAGCTGTCTGATTTGGCCTGCTAGCTGCTAGTCCACTTGGTGTCACCACCAGAGATGGGTCGCCATGTAACTTATGACAATGATCAAACTCATAATAATAAGCAATTTCAGTGCTCCGGTTGGTCTTTCCATCCTAGAGTTGCAAGAATAAGTAGCACATGGAGAGCACAGATATTATGATTATTGTGTTGAAGCCGCTTAGCAGCAATTCCCAGCCGCCCAGCGTCGAATTTCCGTGGGTTGACCTGCCCAGCCTCCAGTGGCTTCCAGTGACTTCGCTGAGGCAACCGCTGGCCGTGAGCCAAGCCTGGCAAGAGCACCAGGCCCCCGCAGCGAGCTCCTCGCGTGTAGAGGCCGCGCCTGGCGCCGCGCCTCACGCCGCGCCGGCTGCGCCGAAGAGGAAGACCCTGCTGCCCGGGAGCCTTTCGGTGGCTTGGTGGCCATCAGGACTGAGGTGGACACAGCGTGGACACATTCGTCTGCCCTGTGACAAGTGATGAACAGTGACGAAATGCATGTCATTGGCATTCATTGGCATGGTTTTGTGAAGGTTCTCATCACGCATGATGATGTCCATGGCCGTGATTGGCTTTGTGATCTTTGTGGGTTTGAAGTTGATTCTTCTCCCGTGTTTTCACATCAGCCGATGACCCAGGGCGGCAGCTCGTCCTCTTTCACTGCCCGGGAGGGTCTGCGGAAGGAGCAAGCGCCCAAGGCCTTGAGACGAAGTCGTCAGGAGTGACTCCGGGTCTCATCATCGTAGACCGCAGATCCTAGATGATCGTAGATCAATCTTTAATCAGAATCATTTGGCCTGGATCTGGATAGGCTTATAATTGTTAGTAAGACATGAGCTTTTGCAGATATAGACCTTTTTGAGTTCGCAGTGCCATGTCACGCCGTGGTACTTCGATCAGTGCGCAGGGGCAGGTGCAGAGGCACTTCGACGACGCCGATTTCGAGCCGCAGTTCCGGATACCTGAGATGCGCCCGTCGATGAGAAGCTACAGACCCAGCCATTTTGACGATGCCTGAAGAACCGCGTGCGGAAAAAGTGAGGTCAGTGATCCAAGCCATCAATTGGACATGTCTCGGGAGACGCGTGCTGCCCATAACTTCAAGCACCTCAGACATCTCTCGCAGTTGGAGCCTGTGAAATGGAAGACACCCCCCTCACTCAACACACTGGACATGACCGTTGACAGGACCGTTGACACCTGGACGATCTGCAGATGACGCCCCACGGCCCCACGCCATCCACACGCCTCCTTTCTCGGCCCCCGGCGCCGCAGGCGCTCCTGAGTCGGAGTCGGGGTGTCTAGGAGAAAGTCCGCGGGCCGTGCGAAAGAGACCATTGCGGGGTCCACCGCGCCTTGCGGGGGCCGCGAGCTTCTGTCGACGGCCAGTCGTCATCCTATTGTGAGACAGTCCAGCAGTTGTCCACGTCCATGTCCCTTTTCTTCGGAATCTACAGTATTTGGAGCTTCGGAGGGAGCTCAGGAACTGGGCTCCTCATTCTGACTGGTGCTTAGTTAGGAATAAGGGAATGCGCCCCCCTATAGAGATTCCTTTGGATCCATTCCCTCATTCCTTGCTAGGCACAAGTCAGCATTTCATGAAGCTGCGAGCCATTCGTGCCGGAGTTCCCCTTCACCCCGTGCGTCCAAACCGCAGCGTCGCCCACCTCAAACGCGATCTGACAGTGGCCGGGGGGTGTGTGGTGCCCGACCGGGCGTCCATGGGCAGCTTGACAGAATGCTGGGATATGCTGGGTGTGTCTTCGAGACAGGATGATACGCGGATTGATGGATCAGATGGGATATGATATGATTTGATATGATCAGATGAGGAGTTCAGGAGCTCTTCTCAAACTTGCCACTAAGTTCTTTCACTCCGAGATCTCAAAATTCCATGAGTTCAGCCAGGAGAAGCTTGGTACTTTTTTGTCACCTCTTTATGGCCACCCGTTGTTCATCCAAGGCGAAGTGACGCCCCAGTTTCATGCCGGGACACCCGGCGAACCCGCGGAGATGCGAAGAAAGGGAGCAGGGCGATGGAAGCAGGGCGTCGCTCTTGAGAATTCTGCATGATATGTTCATGATATGTTCATGAGGCCGTGAATGCATCCAAGGGAAGGGTCGCTTGCTTCTTATCTCCGAATCATGGTTACGCGGATGACATTGGATGAATTTTCCGAATTACCAAACTGACAGGTGGTGAACTCCACTGTGTACATCTTGCATTCATGTACTAATCGCATGTGAGCTGTATGCACGTTTCCTCATTACATCGCCGCATGATATCAAGGAAGATGTGCCAGAGACGTGCACAGCGGGCACATTTGTATTTTTCACCTTCACATCTAGGCTTAAGAATGGGTACACAATGAACAAGAACACCAAGCTGTGACTCTTTTCAAGATCCTTCTTCTTGTGAGAACATGGCAGCATTTGATTCGGCGTTGACGCTGGCTCCGGTTCCTGCACCATTGCAGCCGCTGCGGAAGTACATTGGTTTGAGCCCATCACAATTTCAGACACTGCAACGTGGACATGGAGTGGAGCCCGATCCCTACAGTGCTCGCTTCGGGCTCCGTGACAACCCGGAGGAGGCCTTGAACAGGGGATACACATTCAACACATGGAAACCGCCCAGCAAGAAACGTGTGGCGGACTCCGTGGAGAATGAGAAGGAGAACCTCGAGCAGATGGCCAACCCCGAGGATGGTGATCCTAAGAAGTACGTCATCGTTGAGCTCAACATCACTGATTTGGGATTCCGCTGGTTGTCGATGGAGGGCCGCCTTGACTTCAACCGTGAAGGTCAATTGCGGTTGTACGGGGCTTTGTTCAATGAAGTGAGGGATGCCAACGGGCGCCTTCTGTACCAGGTGGGCGAGAATGTCCAGCAGCCCATTCCTTAGGGAGGCTGCTGTTGAATGGATGAGTGGAGTCTACATTGTTGCTTTGAAGTTCGACAAAGGTAAACCAGGTAGAAGCCGGGTTTTTGCTGACAAGAGCGGCGCTGCGCTATGATTTGGGAAAGGAAAAGAATCGTGGATTGCAGATCTTTGTGCATTGCATGTTGATTCATGAAACATCCCTGAGGTCCGAAACTAGAGAGAAACCCTTCCCCGACAGTGGTGCGTAAAAGGACGTATCAGTGCAACAACACCGGTTTCTGAAAGGTCTTAGCTTATGAGGTGAAGGGTTGCAAACGAACGACTTGGAACCTGCAAAGGGAATCTATTGAGTTGCCATGCCCAGAAGGGTTCAACAATTTCAGGAGAGCTACCCAGAAACACGCAACAGCCGACCTAGACGGAAGGGCCAAACGATACCCCTTTTGCCACGTCCCACTCCACCCCGCCTCGTCCGCTGAGCCTGCGCCACCCATCTCCCAGTCGGCTGAGGTCCGGTTTATCGGAAACACCTCAGCCGAAGGGCACACCACTTATGTGATCAAGGCCAGGTGGAGAGCTGATCCGCTTCGGGTTGGATGACGCTCCCGAGCTCCACCCGGTTGGCTTCCATGTCGAAGAGAGAATGCCGGATGACAGCTCGACGTGGAGGGAGACCCCAAACTGTGATCGCTAGAGGTTTTGAGACCGTCAACGCCTCCATTTTCAGATCCCTGAAGAGTTCGAGAGGAAAGATTGATCGAGACCCATTCCAGACATCACATCCCGTTGACGTGCACTTTTGTTTGGAGTGGCAAGCGGATAATAATGGATCGTATGTAGAGACCACTTCCAGACCTTGGTCAGATAAGAGGTCAGTTCCAGCACTATAGTATATATTAATATATTCAATTCACTTCTTCCTCCATGAGCAACTTTTCTTTCAGCACTGTATGACCAAACCAAAGCTCCTTCGAGGTGACCAACTCGGATGGCGCCAGTTGGAATGTACAAAAGCCGCCCGGCCGCACTGTGAGGGCGAAGACAGAGGGCAGCACAGAGTCACATCTACGTCCCCAGAGGCTTCAGGGACTTCTACAATGGTCCACCTCTACTCCCCTTGTTTGTTGGAGCCCCCCAGGAAGCCAACAGCAACCAACTGGGGAGAGGATGATATCAGGAATATGAGATGGAAGAGGTGTGTTTGGACTTGTTTTTGTTGGAGGCTTCCTTTGGACCTCGCGCGTGTCGCGTTCGGACACCGGGGGGGACTCTACTCACCGAGGCGCTACCGGGAGCTCCGGGAGCTGAACGATGAGCTTAAGCTTCGTTACCCCGAGAGCCTGCAGAGTCGCCCAGGGGAGAGGAGGGGGGAGAGGAGGACGCCAGAAGAGGACGATCGAGATGCAGTAGGAGAACCATTTGATACATCTGACGGAAGAGATACAAATGCAATTGGGGGAGTTTGGGACCAGAAAAGAACGGGCAGAACCTTGAAGCTTCTGGATTCGAACCAAAACCAAGTAGCACCTCCCAACTCCCGCTTTTCAGGGCTTCCTTCGAACTGAGGCCACAATTCCCCGCGAAGCGCTTCTTCGGGAACAATGACCCCGCCTTCATCGCGAGCCGACAGGCCGGCGCCGTCAGCCCGTTGCGCCGTCAGCCCGCTGCGACGCGTGGATCGCACGTCGGATAGCGCCCGCACGCGCGCCAGGCGTCCCTGGAGCAGTATTTGTTGGGGGTACTGGCCTTGGAACCAGAGGCACCCGGCCTTGGAACGCGCGCCCGGACGCGGAGTCCGAACTTCGCCGATTTGTCCGGAAGGCGATGGATGACACAGAGAAGGGAGGGGTCAATGGCTGCGGGGGATTACGGGGGAAACTGGCAGGTGAAGACGCCTATGCTGCGTCAGTTCCTGGGAGGAGAGGGCAGAAATCGGCGTTTGCTGGTGCTGTGGCAGTTTTGATCTCAGGCAGGCAGTTTTCTACCTGACCTTTCAGGTGTACCTTTTTCCGACATTCTGGCGGTGGAAAGGGTTTTACCACATCAATGCTGTCACACTTCATATCACTTCACCCCGTCGCCAATCCCCACCGCCTTCAGAAAACACTCACAACATCTTCACAACCGTCATTCATTCCACCACATCACCAAATAAAACGCACTACTCCGCATCACTCCACGTCACTGTCCACTACACCCGCCTCCACGGACTCCACGTCTGACAAGTCACAAGTCCTGCGCGTCAGTTCTTTTCTTTTCGACTCAGACGATTCGACGATGGTTTTGTCACATGAGCTGTCCGCAACTCATAGAGTTTGAGGCCACAACTCCTAGAGTTTGAGGTAGGGACAGTCCATGGCGACTCTTGAATGATGCTGGACCAGAGCCGCCAGTAGGACCACATACACTCCCTGAAGCAATCATGGAGGTCAAAAATGTGGGCAGATCATGTTCCTCTACACCCTGGGACTTGTCCACTTCCATATTTGTTATTGGACCATGCCTCTACAACAGATTGGCGGGGCTATGTGTCAAGGGAAGCCTCAGAGTATGCACATGATTGCCCCCAACCACTGTGGTGACGATGGCGGCCTCCAGGGTGCTTCACTTGATGGTCGAATGAAGCCATTTGGGCTCAGTGAAGTAAGATGAGCCATGGAGACGGAGTCCGGCCAGGAAGATGAGAGACGGAGTCCGGCAAAAACAGGTGACCGAGATCCTGACGAGGCGGACGAGGAAACCCGGCGAAGCTGCTTCGCCACGGCTGGAAGATGTACCTTCGCTTCACTCCCATGTTGCAAGATGGCCAGTGCTCTTGTCCTCGTGGTGCTGTGTAGCTGGGCTGCGGCCTTGCTTGGCACCTGCGACTTTGGAGCGGACAGCTACTGTCTTGGAGCCACTGGGCTCAAATTGGTATTCCAAGAATATGGCATCATCATGTTCCACGCTTTGATCGCTTCTACGGCCCTAGCAGCTTGCGGAGCTCTGTGGTTGTGGTGCAAGGCCATCACCTCGCACCTGATTCAAGCGTCTCATTTTTTGATCCTCAATTGGATCGAGGGCCTTGTTTTTCTCAGCTTCATGGTCTCGAGTTCCCAGAGCCCAGGCATTGACATTCACTCCAAACGCTTTACTTTCCTCCTTGAGACGTTCTGGGTCCTCCTACTGGTTTGTGAAATTATTTGCATCCAAGCACTGGTACAAGATCGTCTCCAAAGCATTTGGCCAGCGCTGAATCGGCCGAGACAGGGCGTGTGGCTGAGGTGGATGCTTTGGGCAGAGCTCATGTGGGTCACGCTGAGCTTCATCCTCTGGCTGAGTGGTTCTTTTTCACGTCCTGGAACGCTGGACTTCAAGGAGATCAGCGATGCATCCATTTATTCCATACTGCCGATTCTGCTGTGCTTCCTCACGTGGGTGGTCCTTGTTCTTGCCACCTTGTGCC